TAAAATTACTCTCCAAATATTTAAGAACTATTATGAAAAATATTCCAAACCGATATAACAAGTAAATACAGAAATTTGAGATTACGGTTGCAATTTTTATATTTGTTTTCATGGCTTATGTGTCATTATTACTAATTATAATTAATTGGATCATCTATTGATTTGAACATTTGAAGGAGGAAATTATTTACTCTGTTTAGGAAGAATACGAATTATAAAACCCATTAATATTATTGAATTTGCATGAAGACCATTACTGCGACCTTTATCCTAATACCCTTTTTACGGGCAGGAATGTAGGTCGATAGTAAAACCGAAATTACCGACCTATTAAAATCTCCCTCTATACATTTTCAACACGACAGTCACGCGACTAACTGAAGCTTCTCATTTTTATTCAGTAAATGTAGAACATAAACTAGTAAATAGGTGCAGACACAAACGTATAAAGAAGTTTTATTGTGTCTGTAAATATCAACATTGATTACTACGCATAACATTGTGGCAGCTTCTTAAACTATGTATTGAGGATGGCAACTTCATTTCAGTCTTCCCTGTATTTACTATAAGAAGTGTACAGCACGTACAATATTTGTTTGAAAAAATTCCGAGAAAAAATAAAAAAACAAAGTTCTATTATCGGAACTACTGTAACAGTTTACCGCGGCAGAGGCGTACCATGAAATTTTCCGCTTTATTTTCAGAATATTAAAATATACAGGGTGTGGCGTGTATAATCTATAAAAATTAAACTACAGCTTCCTGATGATATTTGTAATAGAAAATTCTTATACGAAAAAGTTCTATCTTCGCGCTTTTTTTGTAAATTAAAGTTCATTTATTCAACGAAAATGAAAGCCGACACTGTGTTATTTATTAAAAACTTTGGAAATGTTTTTATGCAACCTTTTAATTTAAGTCGGTATAATCTAATACTAGTAATACTAAAATGTGTGCAGTCAACTGATTTTGTATTTGTATTGAATTCATTATTCACTTAATTATTAAATATTAAGCATCGACCATCGACCCATCAGTGTTAAAAAGTGAATGATTCCAGACAAAAGTTATTATTTTGTAATTCCATAGAAACAGTGTACTTTTAATAAAGAAGTAAAAAATAAGAATAGCGTGCCGATTACATTAAAAACGAGAATCTTATTTCTTACTTTGTTTAATTTTTTAATCTGTGCACAAACTAATTTTACAATAAACCGAGAAAACAATGCATTTACTATTTCCAAACGTGTGAATATGGTGTTAGTGTATGGTGCAGCCGGAGAAAATGCGCTCGCGGCGACTAGGTTGTATCGGGAACGATGGCCACAACGTCGTCACCTCCCCATGTGCAAATACGCGCGTTCAGCGGCTGCGAAATACGGGAAGTGTTATTTCTCGAGGAGAAATACCTGGTCAGCAAATGAACTTTAATGTTGAAGATGCAGTGTTTGAAAATCATGACGAAGACCCCACAATTAGTACTCGACGACTTGCACAGCATGTAAGAACCTCATCTCGTACCGTATATCGCATCTTAAGGCGGCAGCTGTTGCACCCCTATCATCTGCAACTAGTTCAACAGATTTTACCCCCGGATTGTGATCAACGAATGCGTTTTTGCAGATGGTTTTTACGGCAATGTGCCAATCAAGTAGACTTTCCTGCTTATGTTTGTGTAACAGATGAGGCGACATTTACCTGTGATGAAGTGAATTTCTATAATATGCACATATGGGCCGGTAAATGTTTGGGTTGGCATAATAGGCGACGTACTTGTCCCTATTTCTTTGAAGGACGACTAAATGAACGAACATATGCTGACTTTTTGGAGAGCCGGTTGCCTGAATTATTGGACGTTGTGGCATTACAAGTTCGGGCACGCATGTTTTATCTTCATGATAGGGCTCCTCCACACAGTACTCGAAGAAGTAACGACACTTTTGAATGAAATGTTTCCTCAGCGCTTTGGTCCTGAGCCGTAGCCACCTCGGTCACCCAATCTAACTCTAATGGGCTTTTATCTTTGGAGTCACTTGAAGTCATTGGTTTACAATAATCAAATTGCTGCTGACACATAACTAGGGGAATACCTGCAATTTGGGAAAATATTCGCCAAAATTGGGTGCGTCGGTGCCATGCCTGTATCCGCACTAATGGGGATCAATTTCAACATTTTCTCTAGAAATGGTAAGTTTTATTTCATTTTGTTCCATATTTTAAAGGAGTTTGTTTAGTGCATGCAGTTGGCAACTACAGATTCTTACGGATGTGGTTTTGTTTGCGAACTCTTGCAGTAACAATACATTTAAGATAGTAATTACTATTAATTATTGTAATGAGAAAATATCAGTTTTTTTTTTAAATATCTGTTTTTGTTAGATTGTACTTTTTCATTGAAAAATTCCTCAAAAATTGAGAAGTATCTTTCTATCTTTCAACGACGATTTATTTACGCGGTTGGTCTACAGCATGTAACTCATCGTACAGCACACGGACAGGACCGTTCCAGAGAAAATATTTTGATCCATAATTGAACTTTAATTTACGAAAAAAAACGCAAAAATAGAACTTTTTCATATAAGACTTTTCTATTATGTTATATCTGTATTAATGTGTTTTTATTTCTTTTACAGTACAAAGTATATTTTTTTTTACCTTACTTTGTTAACGGCAACTTCATTTTAATATTTCCTATGTTTACTATAAAAAATGTACTTTTGGCAACAACGTATGTTTTGACATGTGTCAGTTTTTTCTTTTACTATATTTAGTAGAGGTGAACTTAATTTCAATCTTTTCTATAAGTACGTTTGGCTAAAAACATCAATATTTTTACGGATATTGTGGATATGAAGTTCAACATTTCTTGAATTTACTTAAAAACGCTAGGAAACTGCGCGCTTTGACGTATTTCAGTTTTTTTACCTTATTTTGTGTATGTCAACGTCATTTCAATCTTTGGCATATTTACTGTAAAAAGTGTACGTATTTTTTGATAAGTGTTAGTTTTTTCGTTTAACGAATGTCGTTTCAATCTTTCCTCTATTTAGATACTCTAAAAGCTGTAGTTTGGCAACAGCGCATCTTTTAACATACAGTACACACAGGGTACTTCTTAGGTACACCGACAAACTTTAAGGAGTGATTTTCAAATGATTTTGGGGCAAGAATGTTGAATATACGTCGTCTAAAAATCTATAGTTTTCGATATAGGTTGAAAAAATCACCTATCGCTCTTTTAATTATTAAATACGAAAAATATTAATAGCATAAAGTATTGCATTCTTGTTTTTGTGTTTGTTTGTTTGGTTATCTGTTCGTCTTTTGAATCAACGTAGTTTTAGTCACTCCTATATTTATTGAAAAAAATGTACGTTTGGCAACATCGCATCCTTTGTCATATTCCAGTTTTTTTCTATTAGCAAACAAACTTTCTAAAAAGAGGAGTTTTAAAAAACAATTCTTATAAATACATTATGTATTACGGAACTAAATAAAATTGCTTTAAATTAACTCGGTGTTTACAATAAAACTACTATGTAGCTAACCATAGGTTAGACATACAAACAAACGAAACGTTGTCTTTTGTCCATAAAGTGTACCATTAAACTTTTATATTCCTGTATACTGAGTATACAACTTACTCTAAATATATTCTCTTAGCCCCAACCAATGGCGCATTTTACTATTTACCAACACAGGTTGCAATGTATTTCTGTTTTAAAATTACGACCTTGTTTATAATAAAATAATTTATTGACCAATAAAATTGTGCCCACTGCTTATGTCACCACCAACACTGGTTCTATATAACCCATTCCTATATTAAAAGCAAATTGTCAGTCCCTATAAACGTTATTTCCATTCAAATTTATAAGTTCATTATATAAGTTATATTTTTGGAAATATTGCTCTTGTTAAAAATTGTTTGCCACCTGCGAAAAATTTTTAAAAATCAGTGAATTAAACTCCTGTACCTACCAAAAAGACCAGTCAAGGGTTATTTTATGAAAAAAGTTTTGCCTAAATAAAATATCGCATACTTCAGTAACTTATTGACGTTTTAAAATCTATCTGTTTTCGTCTTCTGAAATGAGACTACGTTTCAAAAATAATAGTTTATTGTACTTTCTTGCCTTTTTCAGTAAGTAATTTTTGGTTAAGTAAGACTATTTGCATGAAAATTGCCCTCACCTGATCCTTTTGGGGAAGAGTTTATTTCATTACTAAAAAAAAAAAATTACAGGTGGCATAAATAAAAGAGAAATAAAAATTTCATGTTTATATAAGAAAATAAACTGTATGCATAAACAGGTATAGTACTCTTACAATATACGGGGTGTATTAAAAAAATAACCGAACTTTTTTAATTACGCGCTAATGGATGTATTTTGTGGTATGCGGTTGGCAGTATTACGTTGCGCATAACCTCATCTGTAACCACATGTTCTTGGATTGTTGATATCTCATTTAGTTTTCGTAACATGTTTATTTGAGCACAACATGTTTAAGGGTCAGTGGCGATTTTTAAAATGTGCGTTTTCTGGAACAACGATGCAACATAAAATTTTGCGTGAAACTGAGGAAAACTTTCATAGAAACGTTTCAACTTTTGAAACAAGCGTACGGAGATGATGCTCTGGGTCGGACGCAATGTTACGAATGGTCGATTTAAAAGTAGTCGTCAGTCAATTGAAGATGATCCTCGACCAGGAAGGCCTTCGACTTTAACTGATGACTCCCAGGTTCAGAAAGTCAAAGATCTGGTGCGTGTAAATCGTCGACAAACGCTGTCGAGACCTATTTTGATACGCTGGAATCGTCCGTCTAGGAATCTGTAACTCCTCTCAGTTTTCTTTGATTTGCTGCACTTTATTTGTGGTTATACATTTTTTTTTTTTTATTTTAAAAATACTATGTACATATAGGTCCTATCTCTCAAATAGTAATGATTGATTTGAGTTACATGCACATTAGGTTAACAATGAAAAAGTAGCATCTGTAGTATTACAAATCATTAACCATTATAATTGTTATATTCACAATAATAAAACATGATTACTAATAATTACTATAATACTTAATAATCAGTTGTGCATGAATAACCAAGGTAGGTATTCTACTTTATTAGAACAATGCTAGGATCTTCTTTTACGTAGTTTTGAAAATAATAGGCTTCTTCCTCTCTACTCGAACGTTCAACCCTACTGAAAGATTTGAAACTGGACCATCTCTCGTGAATTTGTTTGGCAATTTCGACGGTATCACCTGAAAAAGATTCAGAGAATTATGTCAAAATGACATAGTTGATAGTTGATCTTAACTACAATCAAACAATTTTTTTAACTCTAATATCTACTAATTCTATTTCATAAAAATTTCTTCATATTATGAGAATAAATAAATTAAATAATATCAACATATTTAATTTAATTTTTAATTAATATAACCAGAACAAGCCCATAAGGAAAACAGATTTCATTGTTGCGAATAATTCCGTCATATCTTTTATAATACAATCGGTATAAATCTTAGTTATCAATATCTACATTATTTTAAATGAAGTCGTTTCTTCACACTGATAGCTTGTTATTTTTTTCTGTGTGGAATACCAGACACGCCTCTAGGCATGTCAGTTAAGGTAGGGCAGCTGATGTACGTTTAATTTGTTGATTAAATTATGGCTGTGACCTATTTTGTTACAATTTTAATACCATTCGCGGGGGTTTTTTCTCCCTTGAGAAACATTTTCCTGGACCTTTCCGAAACATTTGCTAATTAGCAATTAAAAAAAAATGTTTGGCTAGAAGAGTACGATAAAGCAACACAGGTCGTGACTTGATAAAAATTGTTAATTATTTTTTTGTTTCTATAAAATTACTATTGGGGTTAGCAGTGAAAAGTTGTCTGAGGGTGAATGATATAATAAATTCCTCCTGTCAATGTTACTTGTAACTGGTTGATTATCATTGTAGCATATCGGAATAGAGAACAGATATGGTAAAAATGAATCTAGCTATTAAAAAATAATACAACGAGTAAAATGTAACTATTCAAATTTTAAAAACAAAAATAGAACGATCATAGATTTATGAGGATAGTTATCAAAAATACACGAGCATTTTGTACATTTCTGGGATTTGGTTAATGTCTTTCCCAGAAACGATTCGCAAACAAACGACATGTCATATTTAAATCAGAAGCACCCGCCCCGTGCAAATATCCACACTGAACTTGACCTAGTTATTCCATCGTAAACAAATTATCAGTTGATTAATTGGGACGATGCAAGGTCGACCTAAGTTTCGCGTAATAATTCTTGACACATTTTTTGGAACACGTAACACTTTCGACCTGCTTAACGAAAATTGTTTAGTTTCATGTCTTCTGTTGCCATCTTGAAGGAACGTACTTATTTCAGAAACACCCTGTATCTCACATACCAACAACAAGGAATCTAAGTTTCAAGAACCTTTATATCCAAAAGTAGTATTTCCAGAAATTTTTCTCTTGCAGCCTATAATTACGTTCACATTCAAAGCATCACATCAATATCATTCGAAGATGTAGATGTATAATTAGGCACTAATTAAAGTCAGAACGTATATAATAATAACCACAAATGTGCAGCGAAGCAAGATAAAGATAATAATAGCTGGGGTGAAGCGAAAGTTATCATTTGAACATCCACACAAATGATCGCTTTTACAACCTCATCAAGTTATAATCAATAGTACGTAGAGCCTATATTTATACCTACTACAACTGTCTAATTTAGGTCACGATGTATAGAGTGGTCTATAATTGAACTAGTTCTTTTTAGGTAAAAGTTATTTTACTGTGAGGTATAAGTTTATATACCTAATATGATAACGTGTTTTGCAGCAGACTCTCAGGATTTTCAGTACTACTAGTTTTTAATAAAAATGTTTTGCGTTGCTCTACCTTTGCTAATAAATTGAAGAATCTAATCTCTCATCAAACATCGGTGTTCTAATGACAATCTAAATTTCAGCAAATTAACAAGATACCAATAATAAAAAGCATATTAAATTAGTCAAAAAGCAAATGTAACAAGTACAAGTTATGAAAATTACTGAAACATACACTGTAAAAAAATCGGTGCGAGTGAAAACAATAAAGGTTCGTGAGTGAAATTATTGAGTACATTTTCATTCAATATTGGGCATTATGATCATTTTACTCATTTGTGATTATATTTAAACTAAAACTGAGTATTTTCACTCAAATATAGGCACTCCTTAAATAAATTCTTCACGTAAACTTGTATTTGGTGCACTTGTACCTAAATCAGAGTAAATGTCCGCGCCGTGAAGATGGCACCACTTACATATTGCCTCTGTAATCTCGACAACAATTGATAGGGTCCCGTTAGATGTTCCAGAAAAGAGTAATCACTAGGAGAACAGGCCTTAACCGTAGACGGAGGGTCTCAGCTGGCGGCTCTAAGCCAGGACAGAAGGATGCCTCGCGAAGTGAATTAATTTCAACACCTAATATCCTAATTAATCACTTATTTTTGCACTCAATATTTAGTTAATTAAAAACCAAGTCTGAGTAAGAAATGACTCAATAATAGTTAAATTTAAATCATATTAGAGAGTCAAAAGTCACTCAATTGATAGTTAGCAGTAACTAGGATTTGAGTAAAACTCTCATTCCTGATGCAATAGTTTCACTCAATTGTACTCATACTAATAGAGTGAAAATTTCAGAATTTCACTCAATCAAGTATGGACAGAAATTGATACATTATGGAGTAAAATTGAGTGAAATTTCAGTGAAATTTTTTTACAGTGTAAGGTTCTTAATCAGTTGGTTACTGCTGAACATGTTTAGTTAAAAATGCTTTAAAACTAAAATTGTCATAATCTTCATACACTTGTACGCAAATACTCATTTATGGTGCAAGAACCATGAGTTGTCTCTTTTTGTGGATTTTTTCATGTAGGTAACCATTGTAAAACGCCTTTAATATACACGATCCTCTATTTCACCTTGAGGCAAAATTCAAAATGCATAATTCCATTAAACTCGAAAAAACATCATCACTTTGACATTGGATCGAGACTGAGATGCTTTCTTGGAGTGTGGAGATCTTTTGGTAATCCATTGTAGTAAATAAACTTTTGTCTCAATGTCGTAGCTTTTGTCTCCTATTATCATCCTTTGAATGGATGTTTCATGATCAATGGATTGTTCAAGGAGTTGCCGACTAACGTTCACACAATATTCTTTCTGTAGTTCGTCATCAAGCGAAGTACAAATTTTGCTGCAACTCGATGCATGTTCAATTTTTCAGTCAAAATTTCATGCCGTACCCAATTGAGATGCTAATCTTCTGCAATTTCTCAATCGGTGATTTGCACTCACCAGATCTTTGACTTTCTTATCGTAGGAGTCATCAGTTAAGTCGGAGGTCTTCCTGGTCGAGGATCATCTTCAATTGACTGACGACCACTTTTAAATCATGAAAACCATTCGTAACGTTGCGTACGACCCAGAACATCATCTTCGTAAGCTAGCTTCAAAAGTTAAAACAATTCCCTGAAAGTTTTCCCCAATTTCAAGCAAAATTTTACATTGCATCGTTGTTCGAGAAAATCACACATCTGAAAAATTGTCACAAACATACTCAAACAACAATCCAAGAACATATGATTACAGACAGAGAAGCTTGTGCGCAACGCAATGCTACCAACCGCATATCACTAAATATCTCTATTAGCGCGTAATTCAAAAAGTTCGGTTATTTTCTGAACGTACCTCGTAAGTAATAGTAATTTTAAAGAATAGATTGCAATAAACAAATAATTAATATCAAATATATTTAAATTCAGAAATTCCTATTTTGATTTTGTTGACATATTTTCAAATGGTACCTACATGATGTTTTATTTACAGTTTAATTATTTTTATTTGAAATTTCTTAATGAACCTTTGAAGTACAAAAATTATTGTGTATAAATTACACAGAAAATTATTTCGTGAGGTAATTTCGTAGTTTTTCATAGTGCACTCAACTAAATTTTATATAGTGTACATAATAATCTTTTGGAACAAATGAAATTTTGTTTTCACTTTTGGGTTGTCAGGTAGACGTATAGGGTGTCCCTGAAAAGGATGGACAACGCTTGACAACAGGTTCCTTGGATGAAAATAAGACTATTTAGCCTAACTTACCTATATACAAAAGTGCACGCCTACTACTGAGATATAGCCTTCTAAATATAGAATAGATAACCTTTTTCTTAGAAACTTCAAATTTGATACACTTATTTTTTTATGTAAGGGCAAGGTAAATATAGAATTTGTGAGAATACATATACAGGATGTTCTCTTTCTAGTGCCTTTGCGCCACTGGCTATCCCGTAACTTTTTTGTGTGTGCGCCAATGACGACAGAATTTATTATTTTTAAAAATAAGCATTAATTTGGAAGATTTTTTTGCTCTCACAAAATGTTGATGTCGTTTATGGATTTCGAGTAAAACTGGCATTTTTTATACATTAAATAAAGGCAAAAAATCCGATTTGTAAAAAATAATTTATATCTGCAGCCTCAAAACAGGGAATAATAACGAAAAAACGTCACATTAAAAAAATAACTACACATTTTTAGTATTAGTATTATCAATCAATAAAATAAAAATCAATACTAATATTTTAAATAAACAGTATCAACTAATAATGTAAGAAAGTCAACATTAACATTTTAAATAAACCTAAATTGATATTTGTAATCACATTAAAATAATAGTACAGTAAATGCTCAAAGTTGCTTCCTTGTTCTTATACGCAAGCATTAATTCTTCGAAAATGAAAATAAATTTTATCCAATAATTGTGCATTACCTCTCATAACACTAATTTCATGTTGTATTCTTTCCCATTATTCATTTTCTGTATTTACTGAAAAGTTATAAACTGTGGTCCGCAACGCTTCCCAAAGGAAATAATTACATGGGTTTAGGTCCGGGGATCGAGGTGGCCATTTTAAAGGCGCATTATTTCCGATACCTATCCACCTGTTAGTATAGTAACCTGTAATAACTGGTCTTTTAATACTCTATTAACGGAACTCTTTGAAAGCCAACCTCTGCCACTAAACGCCTTTTATTTACTTGAGGAATTTCTTCAACCCTTTCCAAAATTTGTTCCTCGAACTGAATAGTTCCGACCGTACATTATCCATGATTTAATGTTACAGTTAAAAGTTGTGATTTGAAATTCTTCGATTAGGAAAACTCAGCATACGTTCGAACAGTAGCACAACAATTTCCTTCACAATAACCCAAAACTAATAACATATCAGTTTGTTCAGCAAAAGTATAAATTGCAGTAAAAAATAAAGTAAACTAAAATTAAATCACAGCTAGCTTGACACTGCACCTTTTAATTATTGTTATGAATTTGTTTCTTTGTATGGCACCTCGTACTAAACTATTCTGTTTATCTTAAACTAATTTTACATTATTTAATGTGTAAAAAATGCCAATTCTACTCGAAATCCATAAACGATTTCAAAATTTTGTACGGGGCAAAAAATCTTCTAAAATAGTGCTTATTTTTAAAAATATAAATTCTGTCGTCATTGACAGACACACAAAAAAATTACGGGATAGCCAGTGGCGCACAGGCACTAGAAAGAGAACATCCTGTATATGTATTATCACCAAATTCTATATTTACATTTCCCTTATATAAAAAAATATATACCAAATTTGAAGTTTCTAAAAGAAACAGTTTTCAAATTATTTGAAAAAACTAGGTTATCTGTTCTATATTTAGAAGGCTATATCTCAGTAGGTGTGCATTTTTGTATATAGGTAAGTTAGGCTAAATAGTCTTATTTTCATCCAAGGAACCTGTGGTCAAGCGTCGTCCATCCTTTTCAGGGACACCCTGTATATATCGATTTGTTATTTTCACTATGTTTCTCTTTTACTTGCATTTGTGTAAGTTAATAAGTTGCTTCAAAATTTGTTCTTACCTGTAGGTTCCATTGGGAATATAGTTCTATCAAAAGTAAAAGGTTCCTCAGCGTTCCTAAACATTTCTTGTCTCACCAAAGAGTCATTAAATTTCGTATTCGTTTCTAGAGACTTATTCATATTCTGAATGAAAATCTCCCACCTTGGTTGGAAGAAATGGGATACCACACCTAAAAACATTGACGTAGAAATTTTACAGGAATACTTTCCTAAATATTTTACCCGCCCATTGCTTATTGGCATAGTTGATGATTTCTCCGGATGGACCCCACAGAGTTATTTGATTTCTAGCGTTGTACTCAAACAGATCTTCCTCCTTAAATTTAACACATTATTAATAAATAGTAATCAACGTTGTACTAATACAAACTTGTGAATCACTGGCACATGATTTAGCAGACTCAAGCCAAGGGCCTAGTAAGAAATCTTTATTAGTTGAAAGGATCAATTCCAAATCGGAGAGTATATTTTTAAATATTTCCGTAGCGTCCCTGAAATATGAAATGATTTTCTTCAGATAATTTTGTAGTTCCAAAGAGCAGTTATGCAAAGGTTATGCAGCTCTATAATCATCTAAACGTTTTAGTGGTTGTCCATAATCTATACTTACAGTAAAAGGATTTTTGAACTTACTTAAACTCGTCTTTATTTTCTGCTTTGAAGGAGGATACCAATTTTTCGTAGTAAACATCACCGTTGATTTGAAGCACTTGTCTAGTTACGTCTACGAGATCGTGAAGGAAGGCAGGACTGTCGTACAAATTATCAGCGGCTTTTATGAACCAATCCCAAGCATCGAATACCTCTGAATATTCATACCATGTCTGTAAAAACAAAAGATCGAATAAGACCAATATTTTGTGATATTAAGTATATAGGAAGTAATCGAAGTAATCTTGAGGAATTACAAATATACCTACCCATATGTTAAGTTTTAAACTTGGTGTATTGGTAATAGCATATCGCCCTCTAATCTTCTCGATTCCATTAAAATCATATACAGAATCCTGAAACACAAACAAAGATTCCATATGTCTATCCCCATCAGAATATTTTAATATTATAAATACAGCAAATATAACAACTATATATATCTTTTTTATATGTTAGTATTGATCTAGTTTTCGAAAAAAAAATGAAATCTCTTCAAATTGGCGCCCAATAATAGTTGCTTTTAAATCTTCCTTACTTTTAATTTTTGCCATGCTCGTATGACATATTCGTCATTTGCACCGTATCTCCTTATAGTGTAATTTGTGAACCAATCAGTTAGGTTAGCTGGTTCACTTCTCCAAGCTGATTCAGTCATCAGGTCGTAAATGACGTAATTCTGGTTTATGCCTTCTGGTGTTAAACCAGTTCCAATCATTGTGCTACCTTGTTCCTTCCTAGCTTTTATTGCATCCTAGGAAAGAACAAATATATTTCATCTACTGTATAAAGTATATTACTAGATTGTGATCATCAGATCGTCTTCAACATTGATTAAATGAATGAACAATGTTATAAGTGTCCAGTTTTATATTTTATAAATAAACCTTATACAAATTTGAAACAAATTAAATAGAATCACCTCGTTTATTTTATTTACTGATCCAAACATCCCCAATGTTCCTCCAAAGTCGTGCAACATACACCAAATGTATGGTTGACCAAAATATTGTTCCAGGCGATCGTATTGCGGAAATTCTTCAGACTGGAGATCTAAAACGATCATTTTTCCCTGAAATTGAATATCTTCTAAATTAAAATATGATTGAGAAATACGACTTTTGAGAAAATTGCTAGAAAATATATCTAAGATATCAAAACAAAGTTAGTTAGTTACGTTTCGGTTGCCTTGAATTTGCGTTATTTTACCAGGAGAATAGCTCTGATTCTGTCATCCTTATGAAGAAATAGTAAAACATGACATTGCATAATGACGTTACAAAATTTAACGATTTCTATAAGATTACACCGAATCTGTAGTAATATTCAGATCTCGGAAAAGTTCTAACTATTTAGTTTTTAAATCACCACCACCACTACCAATTTTCAAAAATATGTTGACATACCAACGGGACGCTAGTAATGAAAGATTTAGCTCTGTCGGTCGACTTCCAAAACGAACTGGAGTAAAATAGCCAACCCTGCATCACCCTAGACAAAAAAAAATATAACTTACTTTTGGCACTGAGGTTAGTAGAGCTTTGGCTCGTTCACGAGTCCAATAAAACATAGAATGCACAAAAAGCCAACCTTGCATTACCCTGAAGAGGAAAATCGATTAGCAATATTAAAGCATTTATTTTAAATGTCTGCAAGAAATTATAATGTTAAACTTATCTCTAGAAAAATTAAAATCCAGTCTTCACATATGATTATATTTTTAAGTAAAATTATCGTAATAATTAAATATTAGTTTTAATATAAACGTTTTTGATATTTGAAAATAGTCAGAAAAATAAAATAATTTTTTGTACCAAATAGAATTACGTTAAAAAGATTCCAATTCTGAAGCAATTTTTTATGATACTCTCAGTATATCATAAAGATCAAATATTACATGTGTCGAAGAAAATATATTGTGGTAGAATTAACGAAACAATGGATATGTAAAATAAAATAAACATAACAGAAGAAATTGTCTTGTGCATTTATGGTCGATGAAAATATTTCTTACTTACCAAATAGCATCAGCATCAGCTGCTGTCATGGCAGAATAAATACTTTTCCCAACATTTGAGAGGTAAGTTAGGTCACTAGTAGATGGGTCAACCTCATTGAAGCTGTCACAGTTGTAGACGTGATCCGTACCAAACTCTGCTGTTTGCTGCCAGAAAAATGTCAAGATATTTAAAGAGGTGAAGAATATACAGGGTTATCCAAAAGTCCCGGACGGCAGAAGAACTTTCGAAGAAAGCATTTTGGGAAAAAATGTTTCAGACAAAAGTGTAAGGATTTTTTCCTGGTTATCTGCTGGTGGCCTTGGATTTGACCTTGACTGTGACTTTCGAGGTCATTTGAAAGTCAAGTTAATTTTTTTAAATGGAAACCCCTATTTTTTATTGCGGATTTGGAAAGAGCAGGAAATTCTACGTCTAAATATGGTCTTGACCATTACTTTCATAATGACCTTCAAGGTCAAATGTGGGTCGTCTTCCAAAAGTCCCGGTACAGCAGAACTTTCGAAGAATGCATTTTGGAAAAAAATTTTTCAGACAAAAATGTAAGGATTTTTCCCTGGCTATCTGATGTTGATCTTGGATTTGACGTTGACTTTGATCTTCAAGGTCATTTGAAGGTCAAGTTAAATTTTTTAAATGGGAACTCCTGTTTTTTATTGCGGATCAAACCCAAGGTCACCATCAGATAGCCAGGGAAAAATATTTACACTTTTGTCTGAAACATTTTTTTCCAAAATGCTTTCTTCAAAAGTCTTTCTGCCGTACCGGGACTTATGGATATCCCTGTTTATTAAAATAAATGAATATTCTAAATTGACAGGAATAGTAAATTCGTATTCAAAAAATGTTACCACAACATACCTCATCTAAAAACATTTTACCAATAACTTTAAATAGCTCTTCTGTTGGATCTAGGAAGTAGGGACAGCAGTAAGTATCGTTGAAGCTATTCCATACTTGCATTTTTGTCATATTTACATCAGGATAGATACTAGAAAGGTATGCAAATTACAAACAAGACTTACTTCAAACATAAAAGATGTTTTGTCAGCATAAAAAACGTTATGGTTCTTAGTTTCATATCTGCCATCATTAATATTTTCTTCGAAGTCAGACTAATCAGATATTCTTTTTTGAACTACAACGAACCATAATAAACTCGTTGCTTTAATAAACTTAAATTGGAAAAATTACAAAAAATAGGACATAATATTTCATTAAAAGAAAAATCTTTAAAATTATAAAATAAATAGGTGATACCTTTTGAATGCTCTTGGGAGATGCCCTGCAAATGCTGGTAAAACTGGTATCATTCCCAAGTTTCTCATTCTTTGCAAAATGCGTTTTTGTAAATAAATAGATCTGTCATGCCATGCCTTGGATAAAGGCCCACCCCATCCGCGCATGTTGCCCATTCGCAACCTGCAAAATTATACATGCCACTACACGATTATAGAAAAATGTGTAATGAATTTTTAAAGTAATTAATGGACCACTCACCATGATAAAAACGCTGGTCCAGTGAAATGCTCATCGATATCACTTTGGGTCAAATTTAACTTTGAATACACCCTCTCCCAGATCGCTTCTTGTCCGTTAAAGGCTAGAACCAAATTAAAGGAATTCAGAGCCATCCAATCGATGTGTTTTTCCCACTGGGTCCAGTCCCACCACACGAAACTGTAACTTGTCGTGCACACATTTTGATAGTACCGAAATCTGAAATCCGCAACGGAATTTTGAGAAATCATATTCTTTCAGTTTCATTCCAGCAATAGTCAAATTTCACTAAACTTTCGAATCTAATCTCCGAAGCCGTTTGCAGAAACGTGTGGAAAACTCCACTAACAGTAGTAACCGATCATCCCTGTGAAACAGAAGACTCTGAGCGAAAATCGAAATTCAGCACAGAGACTTAAACCAATGCCAAACCGCGGTAGATGCCATACTAGCAAAACAATAGCCAGATTACCCGACTGGAACGTCAACAGCACATGAATCGCCCGAATCCGGAGAAGCCAGTTGTATCGGTCCAAACCGATCAACAGTCCCCTAGAATTCGCGTAGCTATCCCGAAGTGTGATCGGACACCGACTCTATTACCTCGCAGTTCTATAACCAGAGCGCAAATGTAAGTATATGACTCGAGTTCAAGTGTATTCGTTGCCTTCAATCTTGAAGCCACCCGTGTTTATTTAGAAGGAAATAAGTCCCAAGGCTATACTGAGGGTTTCACACGACATAAGCTAACCATCTAACGTCCAAACCGCTCAAGACTTTCTGTGTCTGTGGCGAAGATCCTGTAGGATAAAGCCAAGCTAAAACAGCCGTGTCAAAAGGAATAGAAATAAACAAGGAAATAGTGACAAAACTAGCCAAAGTGCATACAAGTGCTCATGAATCATAGAACCAGTGCTGTCTCGAGGGTGGATCCAGTGTTATCAAGCTGACGAATCAAAGCGTGAACTAAATCTCGAAACAGAACAATATGTATGGAAAAAAAACAGTTATACGACACTCTATAGTTTTTTACAGAAATAAAGGGATAATGGTGGAAGAGTAGACATTTTTTTATTGGAAACTGTATTGAAAGCATACAATAAAAAGAAAAAGACTTGAAATTTCATCGACCCTTCACAATTCTATTTTAGTATTGAATATTTTACTATTTAATATTTAAAAGAGGTTCTATTCTGATAACAATCTACATCTTTATGATGTCATAAATCGATGCCTGATTGTTTGACACTGACAAAGTGTCATGAATGCCATCGATTGTCTAGTGATAAACTTTACTTTGTTAAAGGGCTGTGGAAGAAAGATCTCACAGATTACATTAATTTTTTTGTCAATTATTATTACCTACCTATCGTTCAGAGTCATAGTAACATCTACGTCAGGCAAAACATCTGGTAGATTCACCTGGGAAGCCTCCCATGATATGTGACCATTGCAGTAATACTTCAGATAATACTGAAATCCAGTGGCTGCAGCGACTCCTGTTGTTGCTATTATGTTCACGGTCCCATTTTCTTTCTTAATCTACAATAACTTCTAATTACACAGTTTTAAGAAATTTATTACTTACCTACACTGAAAGTATCCTTTCCTTCTGTTCCTAAATTTGAATCAATTTGCACGGCAAATTCATTGGCACGAAGAGGAATATTTCTGATTATTAGGTCAAGGACTGCTTGGGCTTGGGTTGAGGTGTTAGCTTGAGGTTTAATGTGTCCTAGAGTATCCTGAAAATCTAAAAAGGAATAAATTGCAAGAACAAAAGTCCCACACAAATAAAAAAACTACATTCATGTCACTTTCTTGGAAATACAAGCAATGGAAGCTTACACATTTTCTTACTTTTGTATAACTTTTGATCAAACATTTTAACAAAAATAATGAAAATAAAATTAGTTTTTATAGCAGCAATATAAATGAAGGAAGTATTTACTCGAGGTAGAAAAAATTTGATCATAGTTTTGGCATGGTTCATAAAAAAATCTGTTTGTATTTTAATATGGAAAAATGTTGTTTCAAATTAGTCGATGGTAATCAAGTACATGGTAAGCGAACTCGTATATTAAAAAAATTATTTCTAATAATTTTTTCCCGGTATAAATACAAAGAGACGTTTGGAGAAAATAAAAAAAAATTTGTCCGATGCCGATTGATTCCAAGTTTGCAACATGGAAATAAATTCTAATTCAGAACAAATTTCCTAATCAAATCTCTTGATATATTATACAAAAAAGGCAATTTACCTACACAAGAAATATTTTTTTCGTACGCAACAAGAAATACTTAATTTTTCAAAAATAAAAATACATTACACATTATTCTTTAATAAATAGTCCAATTAAATTGGTTTTTTAATTCCCATTTTGTTCACTTGGCTTGATTTTTTTTTTTGGTTTGTTTTGGGTTTTTTATTGGTTTTTGTTGCCGTTATTTTTTTTTTCACCCCCGGCTTGGGGTTGAAAAAATTAAATTAAGGGGTTTTTCAAGATAACCCAAAAGGGGTAAGAGCTAGAAAAAAGTTGTAGAACATAAAATTCTACATAAAAATGGCCCATTGACTTTTTCTTGTACTATTAAAATTAACAGAGTTAGGGTGGTTAGAAGTTAAGGAATAATTTCAGAAATTTAAAAAAATCATAACAAGCAGAAAAATGAATGAATTTTATAATTTTTTTTCAATCTACTCTAAAAAAATGCAAACTTTCTTTTCAGAGAAACTTTTATTTCTAGCTCTTACCCCTTTTTACTTATCTTGGAAAACCCCTTTATTTTATCTTTTTTCAACCTGGCCGGGGGTTGAAAAAAAATTACTGTCACTTGTGTTGTTTTATATACCTCAAACTAATTTATATTAAAAATTCAGGCAAGTTCATTAAAATTGCGATTTAAAAGCCCATTTAATTGGGTTAAAAGCAGAATTGCTCGTCAAAATGTAAAAAATCCACGTAACATTTTTTTGTTGTTGACACAAATAGTTGACACAAATTTAGTACATGTTAAATGCTGGAAAAGGATTGGCTGTTGATGTGTTTCTTAACTAACATGATGTATTATTGAATCATATCTTAATAGGGAACACCCTGTAGATGTTGATCCGTTTAAAACTACGTTGTTGTACATTTGAACAGAATTTTTTAACAAGAATTATTTTCTTTCATAAAATGAAAATTAAAAAAGTTTCCCTGCTTTCAACTCTATGTATAACCATGTATAACATATATATTTCCTCACAAGATTTCTTACAGTGAATAAATAGAAAATATAATTTCATCTTTATATTTTATATCTCCCAAATAAATTATTTCCTTGGTATAATTATAGTAGAATTAGAAATAGATTATTTACTAGATAGTTAGCTTATCTGCAACTAGATGACTTCTATTAAAAACTTACTGTCACAATCACTATTTTCTACCATAACAATAATAACAAACACAAAACCCCACTTGACATCCATTTTTAAGAAGCCTACACTGTTTATAGACAGCGTCAACACAAACGCAAGTTGGGATGAACTATGACTTCCTTTTTAATTTATGAATATTCTTTTGATAAGTAATTACCATTCAAGTGCCTTCAGATTAGAATCATTCTCATTATTATAAGTAAGCAAATAATATTTAATTCAAAACACTTAGGAAGGTAATCTTATCAATGAATATTTAGATTGTGTTCTAAATATAGGGATCGATACAAGAATATTTATGTATATAGGGTGAGTCGCACCAAACTCCAGGAATAGATTCTACACGTCAATATAATAAGAAAAAACTCTAATGCTGTTATGTGATGTTCATTTGTTTTTAAGTTATAGTGTAATTACAAATTAAAAAAATTTAAATCTCAGAGTAGGTCATGTTCTAAGTTCGAAAGTAGGATAGATACTTGTCAGTGTCATTTTATGTTGCAGTGGTTTAACATTTGATTACGTTTATACGATCAAAGTATTATAAAATGCCAAGAATTTATTCAAATTTAAAGTATGCAAGTATGGTGTTTGTAATGGGAAGCTGCTGTTGAAGAATATCGTCAACGGTTTCCACATCAAGTGTGAAAAATGGCTTGCATGTATAGCAACTCATAGTTGGTGGATATCGTTTTTATTTATACTGAAGTAAGACAACATTTATATTATGGTGAAGTATTTGTGTTATGGTGAAACAAGGCAGCATTTGTGTTAGTTCGTAAAAACTGAGTAACTCGGACCCAAATGTGTTTACACGTCGATGGACAAAATTTTTAACAGTTGTAACATCAAGTATGCCAAATTATTTTATTATTTAAAACCAAAAATTAATAATAACAATAACGGCAAAATCAGTTGAATTTGCTGATATAAAATAGGTGCTATAAAATTCTATTTACTCCTTTGTTTGCGAAATTATTTCAAGTTTTTATCACATTTTGCTGCCATGCCGGTCGCATTGCGCAAGGTCAGGTTTTACAGTGGACCAGTTTCCAGTACCGTACAGAAGTGTATTTTTAAATCAATTTCGAACTGCCCTTTTTTATTTTTTCTTTACAAAATTGTATTTGTAAAAGTCCCCTGTACATCCAGATTTTTTTTTGAATAAGTTTTGAATCACCCTGTATGCCGTATATAGGTCTTTTCGAAATAGCCAAACAGAAACTAAAACTTATTTTTTATCTAAAAACCTACAAATAGCTAATTTTTTAAGGTCCACAACTTTTTAAGGGAGCATTTGGATACTGAGGTATATTTAGATAAATGTTTTGTTTAATTTGAGTAAGCTGAGTGTTAAATTTTTTACACCTAATTATACATCGCCCTGTATATTACAGCCAAATATTTTTTAAATATTTATATATAAATTTTCTGACCTTATAAAATGTCTTATTTCGTGTTATACTTAAGTTTGATACAACAGTAGTTAGTTGTATACATTAAAATTATTCTTTATTTAAGAAATCTTCCTTTTTGCATATAATACCACTTAATAACAAAGTTTTATGTTCAAGTATGCAGGGTCGGAAACTCCCCATGGTTCATCGTTCGTTAAGTGAGAGCGATAAAGTAAGTTATAGAAATCCGTGCGATAGAGAAGGATGGCTATAATGAAGGCGTCTCATACTCACCGCCCGTTTCGCCCTTCCAGAAATAAGATCCACTTCCACTTGTAATTCATCGACCGGTGGTCATCTTTGTTTACGTCGTTTGGCTTTTTTTTAATAGATGTCACTACTTATACAATTTCGACTTCGTTATCCCGATATGTTAATACCATCCGTTAACAGAGGGCAGCACAACGCGTAACAAAGAAAACTTTTTAGAGTAGCTAGAAGATACCTCTGTTTGTAAATCTAGTGACCTTGTTTCCCCTACTGAGAAGTTATTCAAATGGAGTATAGTGCTCAGCTGCATTTAAAGTTCATTTAGTCGTTATTTAAATATATTTTTTAAAATGACTTAAAAATCTCAAGAAATAAAGCAACATTCCCTATTTCCCCAATTCCAAAAAAATCTGTAGATCTGGCTTTCTAAGGCTGCGCCTCACCTTAGACAAATTGTGCTGCCCTCTGTTAACGGATTGTATTAACATATCGGAATACGAAGTCGGAATTGTATAAGTAGTGACATCTATTACAGAAAAGGTAAACGACGAAAACAAAGATGACCACCGGTCGCTGAATTACAAGTGGAAGTGGATCTTATTTGTGGAAGGGCGACACGGGTGGTGACTATGAGACGCCTTCATTATAGCCATCCTTCTCTATCGCATGGATTTCTATGACTTACTTTATCGCTCTCACGTAACGGCCGATGAACCATGGGGACTTTCCGACCCTGTATATACTCGTACAGTATATAAAACCCTTTTTTTAAACCTATATACATAAAAATATATCCACTCTGTTACATGATATAAAAAATATATGGTAACTCAGAAAATGTTTATTATCAGCAATAAGCTATATACAATTTTTATATAATGATAAATTGCTCTAGATTAAATAAATAATAGTTTACAATTATTGTGTCCTAGTCCTTGCCAACATAAACGACATCTCCAACAGATATGTTGCCTGTTTGGAAAACTTCAAGTAATATTCCCATTACTGGAGCTTTTTCTGGTCCTTTGCTGATCCTGAAACTAGAGATATAAAAATTATAATATTTCTAGAGGATTATATAGAGAGTTTTGTTTATAAATTATCATTACGTGGAGAAAAAATATAAACTTTACAAAACAATATAATTATATTGTACCTCTCTCAAAATTAGTATGTATCTAACGACATATTGATAGATATATTAATTTCTTCTTGATTTGAAATAGAAAGGTAAGTTTTTTAATTTTCTGCCAAGAAAACATACTTTTTCATGGTCGTCAAAGGTTCCTTATCATCTCTCCTAACGCCTGTCTCAGGATTAGTTGTAGTGATGGAACATCTCATGCACTCTACTACATTCTTCATAATCACATCGCCAACTTTGATCCATAACCAATCATCCTCCTCATATGGCTTGAGTTTTGCTCCATCCACGACTAAGTTTGATCGAAAGTAATCCGCATTTATATCCGAATTATTCATGCGTCTATTGATGTCAGCAACAGAAGCTTGATTTATGATGTGCATAGATGTCAAGTCTGAATTTAATCCCTAAAAATATGTGAAGGGTCACTTACAATATAAACATATCGTTTGATTTATAAATAAAACTTTAATGATGACTGTTTTTAAAAAATAATACTATCTATTGACTGATTTGAAATATACTATATACTTAGACAATCTCTAATGCGTGTCAGCATTCTGTTCTAAACTTTTTCTTATGTACGAGGTCTGTTCAGAAAATAACCGAACTTTATTTTCTTAAACTTTATTGTGAATTTTATAAATTATTGGTCCTTTACTGCTTCAAAGTACTCCCCTCTCCTATTCACACGTTTTTCCCAGCGATGTTTTAATTTTGTGAAGTAGTCATGGATAGCTTGAAACGGCCTTTAAAATCTGTGACAAATTTGCTTTGATGTCATCAATAGTCTGAAGAGGGCGTCCTTTCAGCACTGATTTTAATTTCAGAAATAAGAAAAAATCACAAAGAGCCAGGTCTGGCGAGTAAAGGTGAGGAAGGACAGTAATCTGATTTTTGGCATAAATCTGACAAATTAACAAAGCTGAGAGTGCGGGTGCATTGTTATGATGCAAAAACCATGAGTTGCCTCGCCACAACTCTGCGGATTTTTTCACATAACCGTTGTAAAACGCCTTGATAGAACACACGGTTCATTATTTCACCTTGAGGCAAAAATTCAAATTGCACAATTCCATTAAAGTCAAAAAAATCGATACTGACTTTCTGGGGCGTGGAATCCTTTGCCAATCTATTGTGATTGAACTTTTGTCTCAATGTCGTAGCCGTACACTGTAACCTGCCGCCTTCGTTGCAGCTTCAGGGGCGTGGGGTAGGTTCTTGGGTGGAATCTAAGAAGCGATTGAACTTAAAATAAGATATAATCTTCAATTATCTATCGAACATATTCACAAATACAAAAACATAACATATTACGGCCAGCTCACTTGCCAGCGCTTCCTAACTATACTACTGTCCGCTGGAAACTGCCACTTCGTCCCTCCAACGTCGTCGGGTACCCGGTACCACCCCACACTACACTTATTCAATCCCCCCTTCGTTCCCGCACTCATTTCTTGACTACAGGGTGGGCTTGCTACAACACCCAGTCAAAATTTCGTAGCATGATCCAATTGAGATACTAATATCTTCTGCAATTTCCAATCGGCGATTTGCACGCACCAGATCTTTGATTTTCTGAATGTGGAAATCATCGGTTGAAGTCGAAAGCCTTCCTGGTCGAGAATCATCTTCAATTAACTGACGATCACGTTTAAATCGTGAAAACCAGTCGTAACATTACGTGCGACCCAGAGCATCATGTCCGTAAGCTTGTTTCAAAAGTTGAAACGTCTCCGTGAAAGTTTTCCCCAGTTTAATGCAAAATTTTACGTTGCGTCGTTGTTCCAGAAAATCACACATTTAAAAATTTGTCACTAACACTTAAACGCGTTGCACTCACATAACAATATCACGGAAACTAAATGACTTATCAACAATCTCAGAGCATGTGGTTACAGAGGAAGGTTATGCCGAACACAATGCTGCCAACCGCATATCACTAAATATCTCCATTAGGGGGTAATTCAAATCAAATCAAAATCAAATCAAATCAAATTTCTTTATTGTTCCTTCGTATACAATACATGAACAAGACAGTGTGGCATAAAGCAAAAGAAAAAGAAGAGAAGAAGTGTTGGTTTATACATAACAAGGAGAAAAACAAAGCAAACAAATAAAAAGGAGAAAGTTGCAGTAAGCCAAAGGTTACATGGTTAGATGATTGCTACACAGTACAGGGATCGATATTTATTCATTAATGATAAATGATCGTATTTTCATGGCTCCGCATATGAAGCGGTAGAGTTGTCGTAATTCTTCAGCATTTGTGGATGTCAATAGCGAGTCTAAATCGTCCGAACGGCCTCCAGTAGGAAGGAGACATCTTAGGCTATTGTAAATTGGACAGAAGAGAGTTATGTGCTCTAATGTTTCAGGCACTAGTTTGTTGCAGATTGAACAAATCTGATTAGTGTATATTTTAAACGAGCTGTTGTTAACATAGATATACAGTAGGTCTGAGCTTGCAGTTCTGAGTTGCGCAATTAGTCTTTTTATATGTAATGGGGAGGAGGTGCAATTGAGATAATTATCAGCGTCTAGGAGATTACAATCCCGTAGGAGATGTTTGTAGTTGGGGTGGTGTGTGCTCAGCAGAATTTTGTTTATATCGTCATAGGCTTCATTAAGAAGGTATCGGTTTAAAATGTTCTTATTAGAGTTTTCGCTGATAGAGCCGAGGTTAAGTCTGGAGTTAGAATATTTGGACAGACAAATATTGAGTTGACTAATCCAGTTGTATTTTGTGCTACCAATCTCCGATTTATCTAATTTAATAAAGCGTTGTAGTGCGCGGTATGAATATCTTTGAGTGTTTTGGTTTTTTAATCTGAGAAGAAATTCCATTGACTGTTTCAGTATGTAATAGCCTATTTTACATAGATTAGCTTCAGTCCTTATTATGTAACCAGCTGTAGATCTATTTAAAAAGAGGAGGTTTTTCCAAAAGCTAGACTGTATTTTCTCACACACCTCTAGGTAGCGTAAACCCCATATACTAGCAGAATAAATAAAGGTGGGGATAACTACATTATTATAAAGGGTTTTTATAGAAGGAAGACATGATATTTTGGAGGTATTTATGGTTTTGAGAATTACTCCTTGAGAAAACCTGGCTTTCTGTTCGCGTTGTTTAAGGTTATTTAGAAATAAGCCATTGAATGTAAAAATAACTCCTAGATATTCGTATGTATTAGCAAGTTCTATTGTGGTGTTTTTATATTTAAAATTAATTTGATGCCCAATATTAGGGCTCCTGCGGAATATAACAACTTTGGTCTTGGACAGGTTAACTTCAAGTTTGAATTGGTCGCAATAAGTTTCCAAAATTTCTAGATTTCGCTGCATTTCTATTTGCGATTCTGCAAATATGACTAGGTCGTCTGCATACAATAGCATGTAAATCATTAGTTCATTATCTAGAATTACCCCTTTTGCGCCGTGTTTTCGAAAGAAAGACTCTATATCAGCAATAAATAGGGAGAACAATAATGGGCTTAGTGAGTCTCCTTGTAGCATTAGGGGGTAATTAAAAACGATCTATTATTATTTTCTGAACGAGCCTCGTACATAAAGAATAATTTCTATATTAAAATACTAACAATCTATGACAATATTAGTTGAATAAAACAACATCTATATCTAATTTTTCTCTTTCTAACATGTAAACTGACGTCATCCTTTAAACTTTGGTGTTTCATCAATAACATACTCAAAAAAGGATGAAAAAGTAACTAAATTACTTACTGACGATTCATTCCCGAGCCCACGTTTATAGTAATCAATTTTATCTTTGTATAGATTGTTTATTTGGTCCCTTTCATAGCTACCATCGTGAAAGGCTATTCTCAAACCAGAATCCTCTCCCAGTATGTACTGAGATATCCACGAAGCAACTTCATTTCCACAATCGATAGAATATATTTCTTCATTACGGTAATGTCTAAAATCAAAACAAGGTGTAAAGTGAATGTAAAGGCAAACTGATTGTTGGTTTCTTGTAACACCTCAAGTATTTCAAATGCACAAAAAGGAAAAATCTGTCAGGTAAAGCTATGATCTAAAGGCATTGTTTTCATCATGAGACAGATGTTGCAGTGTTCCTCAACAGCGGAAAACTAGATTTTCCTATTATTATGTTTTAGGAACCTCGGAAAACATTTTTTAAATATTTTCAGATTTTGATTAAAATGTTTCATATGAGAGACTGATATGTGATTTAAAAATATAAATGTACTTTACTGTAGAAGACTTCAAACGAAAACTTATTAAAAAAAAAACGTTTTTGATTCATGACATGAATTGAAAAGCAATATAGTTTATTTATTCGGATTTTCAAAATTAAAGAACGGTCAAATAACGAAGACAAGTCTGTATTCTTCTTTCTCTTATTATTATACAGGGTGTCTCAGGATTAAGTCGACAAACTTTAAGGCGATATTCCTCATAAAAAAATAAGAAAAAATCAAGTATAAATTTTTTCCAGAGACGCTTCTTCTTCGAAATATAGGGCGTTAAAGATTTTTAAAAAATTCGAATTTTTTAAATAACTTCTAAATGAAGAAGGCTATTTAAGTCAAATTTGGCATGACACATCTTCTTATAAGATACCATTTTTCCATAGAAGTAGAAGTCCCGCAAGCAACCAGTATTGGAGTTATGGGGACTCAAGACTCATTAAATTATAAAAAAAATTAATACGGCCCTACTGAAAATAAAAATATGATGCTGTCTTTGTTTTTAGATAGAACAGTTTGTTATTGACAAAAAGTGTACATTCACTTTTTTCCTAACTCATATAGTTTCATGGCAAAATTGATTTTTCCGAAGGGTGCTTCTAGATTCTGTCAATAAACTTTAGGATGACATTCCTCATAAAACCTAAAAAAATATAGTACCTATTAACTAGAGACTAAGACCAATAATTGGTCTTAGTCTCGAGTATGTGTGAGTCAAATAAGCCTTTTTGTCTCCCCTTTCCTTGGGTTTAACCAACAGTATTAAAATTATTTAGGAGATGCTTCGTTTTTGAGGTGTTTTTTTTAGAAAAAAAAAATTATTATAAAAACAATAGAAATATTTAAGTACCTTAACATCTAATGTGACTATGTCGTAATGCGACAACGTAACGACCCTTGCAATACTCCTAAATTTTTTCAGGCGGTTTGTAGTCACTTCATTTACTTGTGTTGTGTACTTTTAAATAAAATAATATGGCAACCAATACATGCAAATTTATTTGTAAATTGAAACAACCAAAAAATTCCAATTAATATTATACCTAGACAAAGCGAAAAGTGAATAAAAAATAAAATGATTTAAAAATTATTTTGTTCAAAATGGGCGCCTCCGAACTGTAGACAAGCACGACATCATCTAATTATGGAGGTAGTAGCCAATCGACACTGAATTGGAGTTAATTCTCGACTCGCTTGGACTATTCGCTGTCTTAGATCTTCTAGGGTATCAATTGGCACCTCGTAGACTTTTTGTTTAACAGCACCCCAATCGAAATAATCTGTCGGTTTCTAGTCCGGTGAACGTGCGGGCCACGCTGCAGGTCCTCCACGACCAATCCATCTCCTGGGATAATTAATGTTTAACCACTCCCTAGGACCTCTACCAAAATGGGCAGGATAACCATCTAGTTAAAACCAACTGTTCATTCGAGTATTAAGCGGAACATCTTCTAATAGATCTTGAAAACCATTTTCAAGGAACTCGGTAAACATGTCAACCGATCTGAAAGGAAGTAGGGACCAACTGTAGTGTTGTCCAACACACCCAACCATACGTTACATTTGAATTCATGCTGAAAACTCTGTTCCCTTACCGCCCGTGGATTCTCGTAGGACCAAATATGGTTGTTCCTTTGGTTTAAAATTCCCCTTCGAGTAAATGTTGCCTCATATTATGTCCATAATACTTTTTGCGTAAACTGATCATCATTCTCTGCTTGGTTTAACATCCAGTCACAAAACACGCGCCTGCATCGTATGTCCTGAGGCAATAAATGTTGCACACGCTGGATATGGTACGCATGGCGTCCATCAGCCCGAAGAGTCCTCCAAATGGTACTTGACGAAATACCTAGCTCATAGCTTCTGACACTCGTGGATCGATTTTCATCGAAATGGTTTAAAATAGTATTCGGTCTTACTTCATCCTGAAGTGGAGCAAAATGTCCATCAGCATAAGTTGGAATACCGAAAGACCTAGTTTGTCTAGACGACTGAATATCGTTGAAAATGTTTCCTTTGCTGGTAATCTGCGATGAGGAAATCTTACTGCATATTCACGGCGAGCCGCTGTGGCATTTCCATCACAAAAACCATATACAAAGACCATATCAGCATAATCAGTGGTCGAAAATATGGACGGCATTATTAAACTTATTTTTATTAGTTTGAACGCTTTATCTAATGGATAATTTATGCAACAATTCGCAAAATAACATTTAAAACGTCAAATTAACATTGCTTGACAGCAGCCCACTCGAAAATTTTTGTTGAGGTTCATTTTAATATTTATCGACAGAATCCAGAAGCACCCTTCCGAAAAATCAATTTTGCCATGAAACTATAAGAGTTAGGAAAAAAGTGAATGTACATTTTTTGTCAATAACAAACATTTCTATCTAAAAAAAGCATCATTTTTTATTTTCAGTAGGGCCGTATTATTTTTTTTATAATTTAATGCATCTGAGTCCCAATAACTCCGCCACTGGTTGCTTGCAGGACATCTACTTCTATGGAAAAATGGTATCCTGTAAGAAGATGTATCATGCCAAATTTGGCTTAAATAGCCTTCTTCATTTAGAAGTTATTTAAAAAATTCGAATTTTTTTAAAATTCTTTAACGCCCTATATTTCGAAATTGAAGCGTCTCTGGGAAAAAATTTATACTTGTTTTTTTTTCTTATTTTTTTATGAGTTTTTCCTTAAAGTTTGTCGACTTAATCCTGAAACACCCTGTTAAAATTCACTATACTTTTTTTTTGTTGTTCTGGAATTTAGAATTACTTACTTCACGACAACTTCCTTGTTCCTAGTTCTATCAGGTATCTGCAAGAGTAAAGTATTCATATTAGGTGCATTCAAAAGTACATGGTTCATGTGTTCAGCCCTAACTTCTACCAGAACCATTTTTGGATAATGTCTAGAATTTACATATTTGTGACTTTTTTCATTATATACCACAAATGATCTGAAATTAGATAAATAAATATACATAATTTCCAGAACCTATATCTATAATAATACTGGGCATACCAGAAAATATTTGTTTCTAAAAATTTCGTGTGTGAATGCATAAAATTTTATAATGTGAATAAATGTTCGTCATTATTCCATATAGATACACAAAAACATCCTGTATGAAAATTAATAACTTTGAATAATTTTAATATTTTAAACCCATTCTTCATTATAAATATGTGCAACTCATACTAAATTATTTAAATAAATTTGATAATTTGATAAGATTTTGTCATCAAGTATGCTGTGATAAAAAATTATACTTACAAATAGGTCTACAATACATTCACCTGTCACGAAGTCTGAAAGACTTGTCGAACTTCTCTTCTTCCATCAGTCCACGTTTCGTACATTCTGCCTGATCGACTTCAAGCTTTTTTCCGCTTTTGAAGGGGTATATGCATAATTTTCTCACCTCTCCAACTGCTCTCCACTCGTTCGGGAACTTAGATTTTTTAAATTTAGAGGAAAAATAGTAATACGTGCCCAGTGTCGTGGCTGCCACAGTTAATATTCCAGCAGCAACAATTGTGTGTTGTGAGAAAATCGCGTTATGAGCCATAGTCAAAATTATCACCTCACATCACTGTAATTGCTAACACTTTCGTCAGTTTTAATATTTAATAACTAAAAACAAAATATTTAAGTTATAATTAAAGTGGTCTTTGATAAAGATAATTGAATATAATAGATAAAAATAAAAATAATCGAGTTGTTTGGAGGACACAGATTTAGGAATCAATTTAGCAAGTATTATCTCTACTATAAAAATATTATGACATAATGTGTTATTTCAGAGTTATTATTTGCTTAGCGGTTTGTACTTTGTCCGTGTGAATTAAATTATACACAATATATGTACATCTACAGAAATGCAGATAGGAAACATTTACTTGTATATTTATACGAATAAGCACATGATATTATTAAAAAAGTACATTGATATTCTTTTTGAAGAATAATATAAATGAAGTTACCAGAAAGTTATCACAGTAATTCTGGATCAGTTTTGGATATTTTATTAATATAAATCCACAGTGAGTAATCTTGTGAACTGGTGAACAAATAATGGGCTATCCCTTAACACAGAAAAATGCCTAAGTAAGTTTTATTCATAATACACACTCTGTATCAACTCCGAAATCAGTTGAAGAAGTAAGGGTTGAGGAAAAGTACATTAGACACTTTCTCAATCATTACTCTCAAACATTGTTATAAAGTTACTTAAAATGTTGATTTATTATGAATTATCATTATTTCACCGACTGGTGAATCTTGAACATTCTATGCTGTGCTATCTAAGATAGACTATCTTGAAATTACTTCTTGGGTTTCGAGACATCATCATATTTGACAACCTGGAGCAGGTTCAACATAAATTGGTATAAACCTTAGGCTTCAAAAAACCCTCAAAGAAAAAAGACGTTAAATCGCATAATCTGGGCGGCAACTCGATTCACCAAAACGGGAAATTACACGACCAGGAAATGACTCATGCAGTAATTGAATTGTTTATCAAGCTGTATGGTATGTGGCTCCGCCTTGTTGAAACCACATGCCGTGTACATCCATATCTTGCAGTTTAGGCACAAAAAAGTGGATTATCATGTCGCGATAGCGAGCATCATTAGCTGCTATTTCCCAACGAGCTGCATTTTCATTTTCGAAGAAGAATGGTCTGATGACGTCTTCGATCCAAAATCCATACCAAACTGGTACTGTAGATGCATTTGTTTCTCAACAACCACTCGTGAATTTTCTGAACCGCAAATGCGACAATTTTGTCGATTAACGAAGCCATCAAGATGAAAATGGGCCTCATCGCTGAAGACGATTTTGTTCAAAAAATCAATATTCACTTGTTTTCCAATCAACCAACTCTCCTCGCTCTGCATGGTCAGTAGGCTTCAATTCTTGAGTCAATGGTACTTTGTAAACATGAAGATGCAAGAATACGCTGTAGAGCGCCTCGAAATAGCCAATTCTTAACCACGGTGCGGAATTGATGTTCCTGGACTCTCAGCAACACTCTCACGAACTGCTTCGATTTTTTGTGTTGAACACCTTGTTGAAGGAAGACCAGAGTGTTTAAGATCACTAATTGATCCAGTCTCCCTGAATTTTTCAATTAATCTCTTCACAGTTGATGAAGTTACTCACTATTCCGACCATATTTTATACAAAAATTGCGAACTGCCAAAACTCATTATTTTTAAAATATTACTCAATAATGAAATCAATTTGTTCTTTCGTGTAGCGCTCTATTTTTAATAATCCTGAACTATCAGCTGTCACGCTATCTTCTTTTTCGTTGACAACACCTTACCGGACTAATAGCGCAAAATTCAAATCTTGCATAATTTTTGGGACACCCGATATAAGCACGACTACTAGGTTTGAGAATGAAAATTGCTTAAGTTTAGACTGTTTTACTAATCAAACAACTAGTTTAAATTATTGTATAACATTTTTTTCTTTCTCCACTAAATAAATATCACTTTTTATCAACTAAATTGTTTTGCTCCGAAACTTAATCAATTTCCTGGGTTAGCTGTCCTATCAACAATCCGTAAATATGGTATAAAAGAAACTAACCCGAATTAAAACAATTTTATTGTACATTTCTTTGAAGAGTATCTAAATACATAAATATGTAACAATAGTGGCTATGACTTAATGAGGTGGACAACGAGTAAGGATTTCAAATACAAAATTGTCTTCCAGCAGACATATTAGAGATTTCACTCCTTGCGACTATGAAAAAATTAATCAACCTTGTCTGCTACCTCAAGTTAGTTTTCCACCTAAAATTAATAAGCTTTTAATAACTAATATGTACAGTTATGATGAACACCGGTTTCATTCTAAACTTTTTGCGACGTATACTGGATCGCCTACTTTAATACTGCCCGGTCGTTTGACTTCCAAGTGAATCCCCATAATTGGGACCTTACTCGGTCCATTGCTAAGTCTGTACCTAAAAATAATGAGAAAAATGGTAAGATGAAGGATCAGTTATTGATCCTGAATATTTGTTTAAGCAATCCTTCAAAAACGCAAGTACTTACTTTTTCAGTGTTTTCAGTGGTTCCATGTCGGAACTGCGCGATGCATTTTCTGGATTGATGGTCGTCATGATGCATCTGGTGCATTCTTTGACATTCCTAAGCACAACATTGCCAATTTTAACCCATTCCCAAGAATCTTCAGCGTAGGGTGCCAGGTCTGGTCCATCTACCACGAAATTTGGTCGAAAATTTAAAACGGTTACGCTGGAATTACCTATCCTTTTGTTTAAGTCATTGACAGACGCTTGGTTTAGGAGCAGGATACTGGTTAAATCTGAGTACAAACCCTAAAACGAAGGAAATGATTGTAATTACGATGATCAAAAGTAAGTGTCAGTATTTTATTGTGTGAAGTAAAGTTTTTAGGGAATGATCATTAGAAATTTTAGAAAATATACTCTTAAAAGTAATGAGTGCGATTCTTTTCTGGCTTCTGGAACTCTCCTGGACCAGTGAAGCAGTGAGGCGAGCGAGGGGAGGTGTTAGATAAAGACCCCCGACCCTCACCAGTTCAATACCGGCGATTGAGGGGAGCAGGTGTTTGAAGAAGTTCAGTGGTTATTATAGTCCGTTACAATCGAATTTTGGGTTAAGCTCAGTAAATGTAGTCCGCAAACGGTTGAATTATGGCAGCTGCAAACAAGATGCTTTATCGCAGGTACAAATTGACAGGTGGTTCAAGGCTTTCAAGAACGAAAGGGAAAGTATTGAAGATCAGGAACAATCTGGTCACCTTTCAACGTCAAGAACAGATAAAACATCCATGTCAAAGTTGTTTTGGACACATATTGGAGTTTGAATATCAGAGCTAACGGTTTTGAAGTGGGCCTATCGAAATCTGTCGTATACAGAATTGTAATTGAAGACTTGAACATAAGTAACCGGGCTTTCGAAGTAGAGTTGTCACGGTGATGAAACTTATGTGTACGAATACGATCACTTCGAATTCACCCAAACCAAAAAAGTAGGGATAAACAATTTTAAAAAAAAATCAATTATTGTGTTATTTTTTACATCGAAACATATTGGTCACAAGGAAAATGTATCAGAATTTATACCTTTAAAAGTTACAGTTTTGGGAGTTCGCCTCACAGTATGGGCACATGCACTCTATAGCCTTGCTATTTTTTTTTGTTCCATGCAGTAAAATTCTACTTACAAGAGATCATGTTGGGACCATTTTCAACACCTAACAAACAATAGCGAGTATTTTTAAAAAATGTTACAGAAAGCAACTTCATGCATGATATGAAGACTGGAAAACCGTTGGAACAACTATTTTGTTCCACAAAGCTGTTACTTTGAAGGTGCATCCAGTTACAAACGCATGTAATGAACCAGTTTAGACATTTCTGGAGGGATTTTTTGTATTTCCTGAAAATATTGGCGGAAAGAATAAAAAAGTTATTGGACAGAAAGACTACTAAAAATTAAAAACGCCATGTATCTCTTAAACAAATCAAGAAATCTAAATATAATTTTGTCGTTCAATTTTGTAAGAAAATTGGGCCAGAATCATTTCAACCATTTTTCCTTCTCAGGAAATAGAAACACTTCAGAAAATTTCAAAAGTGCCCAACCACCTTCTACAGCAGCACCGTGCTTTTATTCTAGTAAGCTGGTTTTAACATACAATCATCTTAATGTTATACAAGGTGCCCAGTAATAAATTTTAACCACATATTTAACACATCCGAATGCAAGCACTTTTATTTTGTTGCAATAATGTTTTACATATTTTTGTATTTTTATTTTTTACTTTTATATATATTATTTTATTTTATTATGTTTTTCTCAAAACCTCTTAGTTTTCAAGATAATATACTCTTGTTAATGCTTGTTATCCGCCACTGGAGCAAAGACCGAAACGGTTTCGGCGAATTTCCAGTGAAGTATAATCCAGTAAATCATTTGGGACGTTACTTAAAAAGTATAAATACCTTCGACCATCCGATTTAATATATCGTAAGATTCATTGAACCATTCGTTACTATTCCGGCAAAAAATTCACTGAATCTCTTTACTCTCTATAGTCACAGAAATGTTGTCCGTGATGGTAATCTTGAGGCTGTAAAAACTGAATTTTTGTACATAGTAGGGATTGTACCTGCTGTTGTTTTAAATTCCTTCAAACTGAAGTTAATCTACGAATGCTGTTCCAGGATTATTTGCAGTATTCTTCAAAAGTGCAACTTCAATTTTCGCAATACAATTAGGCAATTATCAGCCACGATTATGAATTTCACCTTTAAAAAATCATCCTTTCCCTATTTCTAAAACCCAGCATGATGCACAATCACAACTGTTAATACTACGTCATGTTTGTTACACTTTACAATGAGTCTAGTAGAGTCTGGCTCTGTGTACTTAAAGAGGCTCACTAGTGTAGTATATCCCCAAAAGTCTTAGGGTGCACAACTTGGAAATAAAGGAGATTCCATACGAATTCATTCACTGATTCATCATAAATTACCAGCACCAATTTTTCAAAAAATGATCAAATACGCGTGGTTTGCATGAAAACTTTCCGACCAAAGAGATTTTTTTCAAAACGTGAATGAAGTATGTCTTCCTAAACTAAAAAAAAGACTTGTGCTTGCTCAAATGTTGCTTTTATTTCTTGTAGTAAATGCCAGTTAAATTTATTAGTGTTATTTTAATAGGTAAAAAGAGTAAACACATGTAAAGTTACGAAAAAAATATTAGACGAAAGTTATTGGTTATAATTTAAATATATGGTTAAATTGTTGGCATTTATTTCTGGGACACCCTGTATAAACTCTATTAATAATTTAGTATAAAAACTTTAATACTGCATTTAATATTGGTAGGCGGAATTTTATCTCATGTTTATAAAAGATTTGTTGGTAAATCGGGTACAACTTAAATCAAACATACTACTTAGCTACTGTGTCCTTCACTCTTACTACCTAGTATAATTTCACATCATTTTTATTGAGGCTTAGAGGATTTTTCAGATGTTTACTAAACAAATATTAAATAAGTCACCATAGGTTAATAAAAACAAGTGATATCAGAATATATTTGGATATAAAGAAGAATGAAACTGGTATAAATAAAATTGTACTGGACTAGTTAAAAATGAGATAAATATTTAAAATAAGAGAAAAAACTATAGTTTAGAAGTAATTTTGTCAAAATTTTTCCGATACATCTTCAAAAATTCGTATTATAACAAGTTGGTTAATATTATAAGAATTTCGTCTTAACAACGGATATTTTGTAATGTTTTATAACAATTTGTCAGACTGTTATTTACCAACTGCCAACTTGTTATAAAAGGAATTTTATAAAAACTCTATTTTTGTTATTAAATGGTAAATATCTCAGAAATTAATAATTTTAGCTATAGGGAATGCTTCATAAAATTGAAAGAACATTAAGTGTATTTTCAGTTTTTAGAATAAAATACAGGGTGGTTCATTTTAAAAAATTGACAAAATTATGTGCAATAATAAAAAAATAGCACTTTCTCGTAAAATTGTACCAATATCAAAAAGTTATGCCTACAAAAAAACATTGTTAAGTATTTACGGTATAGAGGACGCTGAAATAGGAATGATTCTCGTACCTATACAATTGATCATAACTTTTGAAATACCCTGAACACCATAATTAAACCGTATATTGGAAGCATGGGAGAGATGAGCTTAATCTAAATTTGAAATAATATATAGGGTGTCCCATTTAAAAAACAGTATGTTTGGTTCCCCTGGTAATACGTAACACCCTGTATATACGAAAATAATTTTAAAATGTGCAGTTNCGTAGGACCAAATATGGTTGTTCCTTTGGTTTAAAATTCCCCTTCGAGTAAATGTTGCCCCATATTCTGTCCACATTACTTTTTGCGTAAACTGATCATCATTCTCTGCTTGGTTTAACATCCAGTCACAAAACACGCGCCTGCATCGTATGTCCTGAGGCAATAAATGTTGCACACGCTGGATATGGTACGCATGGCGTCCATCAGCCCGAAGAGTCCTCCAAATGGTACTTGACGAAATACCTAGCTCATAGCTTCTGACACTCGTGGATCGATTTTCATCGAAATGGTTTAAAATAGTATTCGGTCTTACTTCATCCTGAAGTGGAGCAAAATGTCCATCAGCATAAGTTGGAATACCGAAAGACCTAGTTTGTCTAGACGACTGAATATCGTTGAAAATGTTTCCTTTGCTGGTAATCTGCGATGAGGAAATCTTACTGCATATTCACGGCGAGCCGCTGTGGCATTTCCATCACAAAAACCATATACAAAGACCATATCAGCATAATCAGTGGTCGAAAATATGGACGGCATTATTAAACTTATTTTTATTAGTTTGAACGCTTTATCTAATGGATAATTTATGCAACAATTCGCAAAATAACATTTAAAACGTCAAATTAACATTGCTTGACAGCAGCCCACTCGAAAATTTTTGTTGAGGTTCATTTTAATATTTATCGACAGAATCCAGAAGCACCCTTCCGAAAAATCAATTTTGCCATGAAACTATAAGAGTTAGGAAAAAAGTGAATGTACATTTTTTGTCAATAACAAACATTTCTATCTAAAAAAAGCATCATTTTTTATTTTCAGTAGGGCCGTATTATTTTTTTTATAATTTAATGCATCTGAGTCCCAATAACTCCGCCACTGGTTGCTTGCAGGACATCTACTTCTATGGAAAAATGGTATCCTGTAAGAAGATGTATCATGCCAAATTTGGCTTAAATAGCCTTCTTCATTTAGAAGTTATTTAAAAAATTCGAATTTTTTTAAAATTCTTTAACGCCCTATATTTCGAAATTGAAGCGTCTCTGGGAAAAAATTTATACTTGTTTTTTTTTCTTATTTTTTTATGAGTTTTTCCTTAAAGTTTGTCGACTTAATCCTGAAACACCCTGTTAAAATTCACTATACTTTTTTTTTGTTGTTCTGGAATTTAGAATTACTTACTTCACGACAACTTCCTTGTTCCTAGTTCTATCAGGTATCTGCAAGAGTAAAGTATTCATATTAGGTGCATTCAAAAGTACATGGTTCATGTGTTCAGCCCTAACTTCTACCAGAACCATTTTTGGATAATGTCTAGAATTTACATATTTGTGACTTTTTTCATTATATACCACAAATGATCTGAAATTAGATAAATAAATATACATAATTTCCAGAACCTATATCTATAATAATACTGGGCATACCAGAAAATATTTGTTTCTAAAAATTTCGTGTGTGAATGCATAAAATTTTATAATGTGAATAAATGTTCGTCATTATTCCATATAGATACACAAAAACATCCTGTATGAAAATTAATAACTTTGAATAATTTTAATATTTTAAACCCATTCTTCATTATAAATATGTGCAACTCATACTAAATTATTTAAATAAATTTGATAATTTGATAAGATTTTGTCATCAAGTATGCTGTGATAAAAAATTATACTTACAAATAGGTCTACAATACATTCACCTGTCACGAAGTCTGAAAGACTTGTCGAACTTCTCTTCTTCCATCAGTCCACGTTTCGTACATTCTGCCTGATCGACTTCAAGCTTTTTTCCGCTTTTGAAGGGGTATATGCATAATTTTCTCACCTCTCCAACTGCTCTCCACTCGTTCGGGAACTTAGATTTTTTAAATTTAGAGGAAAAATAGTAATACGTGCCCAGTGTCGTGGCTGCCACAGTTAATATTCCAGCAGCAACAATTGTGTGTTGTGAGAAAATCGCGTTATGAGCCATAGTCAAAATTATCACCTCACATCACTGTAATTGCTAACACTTTCGTCAGTTTTAATATTTAATAACTAAAAACAAAATATTTAAGTTATAATTAAAGTGGTCTTTGATAAAGATAATTGAATATAATAGATAAAAATAAAAATAATCGAGTTGTTTGGAGGACACAGATTTAGGAATCAATTTAGCAAGTATTATCTCTACTATAAAAATATTATGACATAATGTGTTATTTCAGAGTTATTATTTGCTTAGCGGTTTGTACTTTGTCCGTGTGAATTAAATTATACACAATATATGTACATCTACAGAAATGCAGATAGGAAACATTTACTTGTATATTTATACGAATAAGCACATGATATTATTAAAAAAGTACATTGATATTCTTTTTGAAGAATAATATAAATGAAGTTACCAGAAAGTTATCACAGTAATTCTGGATCAGTTTTGGATATTTTATTAATATAAATCCACAGTGAGTAATCTTGTGAACTGGTGAACAAATAATGGGCTATCCCTTAACACAGAAAAATGCCTAAGTAAGTTTTATTCATAATACACACTCTGTATCAACTCCGAAATCAGTTGAAGAAGTAAGGGTTGAGGAAAAGTACATTAGACACTTTCTCAATCATTACTCTCAAACATTGTTATAAAGTTACTTAAAATGTTGATTTATTATGAATTATCATTATTTCACCGACTGGTGAATCTTGAACATTCTATGCTGTGCTATCTAAGATAGACTATCTTGAAATTACTTCTTGGGTTTCGAGACATCATCATATTTGACAACCTGGAGCAGGTTCAACATAAATTGGTATAAACCTTAGGCTTCAAAAAACCCTCAAAGAAAAAAGACGTTAAATCGCATAATCTGGGCGGCAACTCGATTCACCAAAACGGGAAATTACACGACCAGGAAATGACTCATGCAGTAATTGAATTGTTTATCAAGCTGTATGGTATGTGGCTCCGCCTTGTTGAAACCACATGCCGTGTACATCCATATCTTGCAGTTTAGGCACAAAAAAGTGGATTATCATGTCGCGATAGCGAGCATCATTAGCTGCTATTTCCCAACGAGCTGCATTTTCATTTTCGAAGAAGAATGGTCTGATGACGTCTTCGATCCAAAATCCATACCAAACTGGTACTGTAGATGCATTTGTTTCTCAACAACCACTCGTGAATTTTCTGAACCGCAAATGCGACAATTTTGTCGATTAACGAAGCCATCAAGATGAAAATGGGCCTCATCGCTAAAGACGATTTTGTTCAAAAAATCAATATTCACTTGTTTTCCAATCAACCAACTCTCCTCGCTCTGCATGGTCAGTAGGCTTCAATTCTTGAGTCAATGGTACTTTGTAAACATGAAGATGCAAGAATACGCTGTAGAGCGCCTCGAAATAGCCAATTCTTAACCACGGTGCGGAATTGATGTTCCTGGACTCTCAGCAACACTCTCACGAACTGCTTCGATGTTTTGTGTTGAACAACTTGTTGAAGGAAGACCAGAGTGTTTAAGATCACTAATTGATCCAGTCTCCCTGAATTTTTCAATTAATCTCTTCACAGTTGATGAAGTTACTCACTATTCCGACCATATTTTATACAAAAATTGCGAACTGCCAAAACTCATTATTTTTAAAATATTACTCAATAATGAAATCAATTTGTTCTTTCGTGTAGCGCTCTATTTTTAATAATCCTGAACTATCAGCTGTCACGCTATCTTCTTTTTCGTTGACAACACCTTACCGGACTAATAGCGCAAAATTCAAATCTTGCATAATTTTTGGGACACCCGATATAAGCACGACTACTAGGTTTGAGAATGAAAATTGCTTAAGTTTAGACTGTTTTACTAATCAAACAACTAGTTTAAATTATTGTATAACATTTTTTTCTTTCTCCACTAAATAAATATCACTTTTTATCAACTAAATTGTTTTGCTCCGAAACTTAATCAATTTCCTGGGTTAGCTGTCCTATCAACAATCCGTAAATATGGTATAAAAGAAACTAACCCGAATTAAAACAATTTTATTGTACATTTCTTTGAAGAGTATCTAAATACATAAATATGTAACAATAGTGGCTATGACTTAATGAGGTGGACAACGAGTAAGGATTTCAAATACAAAATTGTCTTCCAGCAGACATATTAGAGATTTCACTCCTTGCGACTATGAAAAAATTAATCAACCTTGTCTGCTACCTCAAGTTAGTTTTCCACCTAAAATTAATAAGCTTTTAATAACTAATATGTACAGTTATGATGAACACCGGTTTCATTCTAAACTTTTTGCGACGTATACTGGATCGCCTACTTTAATACTGCCCGGTCGTTTGACTTCCAAGTGAATCCCCATAATTGGGACCTTACTCGGTCCATTGCTAAGTCTGTACCTAAAAATAATGAGAAAAATGGTAAGATGAAGGATCAGTTATTGATCCTGAATATTTGTTTAAGCAATCCTTCAAAAACGCAAGTACTTACTTTTTCAGTGTTTTCAGTGGTTCCATGTCGGAACTGCGCGATGCATTTTCTGGATTGATGGTCGTCATGATGCATCTGGTGCATTCTTTGACATTCCTAAGCACAACATTGCCAATTTTAACCCATTCCCAAGAATCTTCAGCGTAGGGTGCCAGGTCTGGTCCATCTACCACGAAATTTGGTCGAAAATTTAAAACGGTTACGCTGGAATTACCTATCCTTTTGTTTAAGTCGTTGACAGACGCTTGGTTTAGGAGCAGGATACTGGTTAAATCTGAGTACAAACCCTAAAACGAAGGAAATGATTGTAATTACGATGATCAAAAGTAAGTGTCAGTATTTTATTGTGTGAAGTAAAGTTTTTAGGGAATGACCATTAGAAATTTTAGAAAATATACTCTTAAAAATAATGAGTGCGATTATTTTCTGGCCTCTGGAACTCTCCTGGACCAGTGAAGCAGTGAGGCGAGCGAAGGGAGGTGTTAGATAAAGACCCCCGACCCTCACCAGTTCAATACCGACGATTGAGGGGAGCAGGTGTTTGAAGAAGTTCAGTGGTTATTATAGTCCGTTACAATCAAATTTTGGGTTAAGCTCAGTAAATGTAGTCCGCAAACGGTTGAATTATGGCAGCTGCAAACAAGATGCTTTATCGCAGGTACAAATTGACAGGTGGTTCAAGGCTTTCAAGGACGAAAGGGAAAGTATTGAAGATCAGGAACAATCTGGTCACCTTTCAACGTCAAGAACAGATAAAACATCCATGTCAAAGTTGTTTTGGACACATATTGGAGTTTGAATATCAGAGCTAACGGTTTTGAAGTGGGCCTATCGAAATCTGTCGTATACAGAATTGTAATTGAAGACTTGAACATAAGTAACCGGGCTTTCGAAGTAGAGTTGTCACGGTGATGAAACTTATGTGTACGAATACGATCACTTCGAATTCACCCAAACCAAAAAAGTAGGGATAAACAATTTTCAAAAAAAATCAATTATTGTGTTATTTTTTACATCGAAACATATTGGTCACAAGGAAAATGTATCAGAATTTATACCTTTAAAAGTTACAGTTTTGGGAGTTCGCCTCACAGTATGGGCACATGCACTCTATAGCCTTGCTATTTTTTTTTGTTCCATGCAGTAAAATTCTACTTACAAGAGATCATGTTGGGACCATTTTCAACACCTAACAAACAATAGCGAGTATTTTTAAAAAATGTTACAGAAAGCAACTTCATGCATGATATGAAGACTGGAAAACCGTTGGAACAACTATTTTGTTCCACAAAGCTGTTACTTTGAAGGTGCATCCAGTTACAAACGCATGTAATGAACCAGTTTAGACATTTCTGGAGGGATTTTTTGTATTTCCTGAAAATATTGGCGGAAAGAATAAAAAAGTTATTGGACAGAAAGACTACTAAAAATTAAAAACGCCATGTATCTCTTAAACAAATCAAGAAATCTAAATATAATTTTGTCGTTCAATTTTGTAAGAAAATTGGGCCAGAATCATTTCAACCATTTTTCCTTCTCAGGAAATAGAAACACTTCAGAAAATTTCAAAAGTGCCCAACCACCTTCTACAGCAGCACCGTGCTTTTATTCTAGTAAGCTGGTTTTAACATACAATCATCTTAATGTTATACAAGGTGCCCAGTAATAAATTTTAACCACATATTTAACACATCCGAATGCAAGCACTTTTATTTTGTTGCAATAATGTTTTACATATTTTTGTATTTTTATTTTTTACTTTTATATATATTATTTTATTTTATTATGTTTTTCTCAAAACCTCTTAGTTTTCAAGATAATATACTCTTGTTAATGCTTGTTATCCGCCACTGGAGCAAAGACCGAAACGGTTTCGGCGAATTTCCAGTGAAGTATAATCCAGTAAATCATTTGGGACGTTACTTAAAAAGTATAAATACCTTCGACCATCCGATTTAATATATCGTAAGATTCATTGAACCATTCGTTACTATTCCGGCAAAAAATTCACTGAATCTCTTTACTCTCTATAGTCACAGAAATGTTGTCCGTGATGGTAATCTTGAGGCTGTAAAAACTGAATTTTTGTACATAGTAGGGATTGTACCTGCTGTTGTTTTAAATTCCTTCAAACTGAAGTTAATCTACGAATGCTGTTCCAGGATTATTTGCAGTATTCTTCAAAAGTGCAACTTCAATTTTCGCAATACAATTAGGCAATTATCAGCCACGATTATGAATTTCACCTTTAAAAAATCATCCTTTCCCTATTTCTAAAACCCAGCATGATGCACAATCACAACTGTTAATACTACGTCATGTTTGTTACACTTTACAATGAGTCTAGTAGAGTCTGGCTCTGTGTACTTAAAGAGGCTCACTAGTGTAGTATATCCCCAAAAGTCTTAGGGTGCACAACTTGGAAATAAAGGAGATTCCATACGAATTCATTCACTGATTCATCATAAATTACCAGCACCAATTTTTCAAAAAATGATCAAATACGCGTGGTTTGCATGAAAACTTTCCGACCAAAGAGATTTTTTTCCAAACGTGAATGAAGTATGTCTTCCTAAACTAAAAAAAGGCTTGTGCTTGCTCAAATGTTGCTTTTATTTCTTGTAGTAAATGCCAGTTAAATTTATTAGTGTTATTTTAATAGGTAAAAAGAGTAAACACATGTAAAGTTACGAAAAAAATATTAGACGAAAGTTATTGGTTATAATTTAAATATATGGTTAAATTGTTGGCATTTATTTCTGGGACACCCTGTATAAACTCTATTAATAATTTAGTATAAAAACTTTAATACTGCATTTAATATTGGTAGGCGGAATTTTATCTCATGTTTATAAAAGATTTGTTGGTAAATCGGGTACAACTTAAATCAAACATACTACTTAGCTACTGTGTCCTTCACTCTTACTACCTAGTATAATTTCACATCATTTTTATTGAGGCTTAGAGGATTTTTCAGATGTTTACTAAACAAATATTAAATAAGTCACCATAGGTTAATAAAAACAAGTGATATCAGAATATATTTGGATATAAAGAAGAATGAAACTGGTATAAATAAAATTGTACTGGACTAGTTAAAAATGAGATAAATATTTAAAATAAGAGAAAAAACTATAGTTTAGAAGTAATTTTGTCAAAATTTTTCCGATACATCTTCAAAAATTCGTATTATAACAAGTTGGTTAATATTATAAGAATTTCGTCTTAACAACGGATATTTTGTAATGTTTTATAACAATTTGTCAGACTGTTATTTACCAACTGCCAACTTGTTATAAAAGGAATTTTATAAAAACTCTATTTTTGTTATTAAATGGTAAATATCTCAGAAATTAATAATTTTAGCTATAGGGAATGCTTCATAAAAATGAAAGAACATTAAGTGTATTTTCAGTTTTTAGAATAAAATACAGGGTGGTTCATTTTAAAAAATTGACAAAATTATGTGCAATAATAAAAAAATAGCACTTTCTCGTAAAATTGTACCAATATCAAAAAGTTATGCCTACAAAAAAACATTGTTAAGTATTTACGGTATACAGGACGCTGAAATAGGAATGATTCTCGTACCTATACAATTGATCATAACTTTTGAAATACCCTGAACACCATAATTAAACCGTATATTGGAAGCATGGGAGAGATGAGCTTAATCTAAATTTGAAATAATATATAGGGTGTCCCATTTAAAAAACAGTATGTTTGGTTCCCCTGGTAATACGTAACACCCTGTATATACGAAAATAATTTTAAAATGTGCAGTTTTAATTTGGCTTTCATGTTCATTCTTGAACGCAATTTTGTGACACTCTATATCAAACAATTAAATAATATTCACTTTTTATTTTTGGTGTACGTAAATCAGTATTTACAAACTTAATTAGTACAATTCTAGCAATGGCAGATGATAACATCAGTGATATTTTTACTATCCCAAATAAATATCCTAGTGTAAACATAAACATTTATATCTTGAAAAAATTGTTTGTTTATTCTCATTGCTTTTACATGATCAACAAAATAGGTCGTATTTGTGTGGTTCATTGCGATTATTAATTTATTAATTCATTTAACGACATAATTATTCGACTTGGTACAGATTCAAGGGTTCTTCATTTTAAATTACCAAGTACATTTGCCAAAAAAAATATATAAAAATTATTATTTAATTATTTTAAAACTCAGTTTATTAATTTTTCTAATTTTTAACCAAACTGTGCTGACGACCAAAACACCTTGTCCCACATCACAAGTAATAGAAATACTAATATATTACTACATCGCGCTTGATTAGACAGCCTTAGTTGGTAGAATTTTTTTCAACAAATTGATTGTATTCATCTTACCGTAGAACTGTTTGATAAATTCTTGTAGTAATCCACGTCCACTTTATGCGCTTTCCTGATATCTCTTCTGTAGCTACCGTCGTGATATCCAAGACGCAACCCTGAGTCCTTCCCTAGGATGTACCTAGAGAACCATGAAGCTGCTTCGTCGCCGCAATCAATGCAGTAGATTTCTTCATTGGCGTGCAACCTTTAAGAATATTGATGGGTTTGTTATGCTTAATTTCAAATTACTTAAATAATGTGCTGCCGTATGTATAACATAACATTTATATATAAAAAACACAAAGATTCATACTTGGTGATCTTAATGGCTATATTCTAGAACTCTTTCTTTATAAAGATACTGCCAGACGAGGTACCTACCTAAATTTTTACATCAAAGAAAACAATAAATATTATTTTTTATTTCCAGAAAGGGAATTAATAATAATCATTACTTGAACAATTTCCGAATTGGATAGAGGGGTGTCAGTTTAGACGTTTCGAAAGATTTCTATCAAAAGAAGCTCTGAAGGTTGAGATTAAGTCCCCTCGCCGGTATTTATATTTGTTGCGCGTACTACCCCTATGTTTTCTTATCAGTACATCCTCATATGTAGGGTAAATAAATTGTTACCAATTATTCCTTAATCTCAGTTAACCTACTGAGGCTTGTTCAATATTTCTGTTGATATATCCATTGCCTGTGAGAACTGATCATAAACTGTAAACCATGTACCGGAATATCATAAAGACTCGCAAATGTAAATACCTGACCAGACTACTTAATTCCAAATTTCAAGGTTTCTTCCGACAACTTGGCAACAAATACAGAAATTGTTCAACTATTGACAACTGTTGGGAAAGTCTACAAATCAAGTTAAAATATGTTCTTCATTGTGTTTCGCAATGTATCATTAATTTCATTTTCAGATAAAGATATATTGAATTATTGATCACAATTTACTGTATCAAATATCATAAAGGAGCTAAAGGATTTCAGACCCATTTTTTAAGAACAGTTATTAATGAATATCAAAAAAAATGTATAGATAATAGAAAATATGTACTTACTTAATGGATACTTCTTTAGAATTAGACTTAGATGGTATCTCGACGTACAAGGTCCTCATGGTTGGAGTATCTATCGCTAGATGATCCGCATCGTGAACAGCGACATCTATCAGTACCATTTTCGGATAAGTTCTCGCAGTTCTAAACTCGTGATCCTTTTCAGCATATACGACTAGACTCCTGAAAGAAGTTGTTTTTATTATGCCAAGAGTGGTTCTTAAATTTTGCAGAACGAAAAAGTTGGGGTTGTATTTGCACCAATAGTAAGTGTTTTGTATAGATAAGCCAAAATTAGTACATATTATTTTTGAATTCTAATACCAAAAAACTGAAATTTTCAAATTGATTGATGCAATAGTTTTGAATATGCTCCTAGAATTTGCCTTTCTTTTAAGTTACAAAAGTATAAGGGCAATTGCCCCCTCTCCCCCTAGATACTCGAAAAGAGTACAAAAATTTTCTTAATTGTCGGGGAAATAAAGCACTAAAAACGGCCTTACCTCCGAAATCTGTGCAGTAAGATGGATCGTGATCGGCAACGGTCTCCGAGGTACCTAGTGCCCAAGGTGGCCGGTTTCCACGTCGTCTTATGGAATTTTGTGGAAATTCGTTATAAACTTAGCCGAAACTCGTTACCTCGGGGTTTTTGGGATCACTCAACACGAATATCACAACGGTAATGGTGTGGACACTAGGTACCTGGGAGACCGTTGCCGTTGTGATATTCGTGTTCAGCGACCCCAAAAACCCCCGAGTAGCAAAATTGAACTCATTTCCGTCAATATTTTCCGAGTTATAAATTTTTCATATTTTAACTCTTCGAGATGCAATTTTAAAAATGCATTTTTCTTATGCACCGATGCAATTTTCATTTCTCATTGATCACATGGGGTCACAAACTTTCTGCACGCTCTAACGAATCGAATTCAAAAAGCCGCATCACGATCCATCTAACTGTACAGATTTCGGAGATTCAGTGTTTCATTTCCTCGACTATAAGCTAAGAAACTATTGGATTAGAAATTTTTAATAAAATATTTTATTAAACTTTAATTTTGAAAATGAATGCACTACTTTATTTTTTTTAAAACAATTGTAATAAATTAGTATAAATATTTGTTTGCAAACCAATATCAAAAATACAAAATTTTATGTTAAAAAGTAATACATTTCTATATTTTAAAAATTCAGCTCTGGAATTTAAAATTAAAAAAAAATAAATATGTATCTATCGGAATTAGAATAAAAGTTTAACAGAGCAACTAAAGCTGTATATGTAACTCACCATTTTATATAGGGGTAATGAAAAATAGAAGAATGATGAGTATACACAGAAAGCTTATTTTTGAGAACCATGAAGATTTTACTAATAAACAAATTTTCAAAAAATCCGAGAAGTTTATATTTTACCTAATTTTCGTTGAATTTCTTAATTTTTTTAGTTATGTGTATATTTTTTTGTTTTTCTTGTATTAAAAATATTTCTAAAAAAAAATTATTCACTGTACCTATTTCTACTTATAATTTATACTTCTCCCATCCTCTCTCTTATCTTGCTTGCCCCCCCCCCCCTTGTCCATTGGCTGACGACGCCCTTTCTTCAAAGTCTACAGTCTACAGAATTTTAAAACAACAACAATTGCTTGTATTTTAGAAGACGGAGTTTTTTTAAAAGAGTTATGGTAAAAACAATGTATTCCTCATAGTAACAGCTGATAACTTCTTATAAAAAATGTAAAAAAAAATTTAAAGTATGATTGATGCCGTGGACTTAAATCTACAAGAGAAACGGTGTGTAAAATGTCGCATACTGATGCAGACAAAGGACAATAAAGTTCAACGGCTTTCATCTACAAAGCTGGCCTTTGGAGGAAGTGAGGCGGCCAAATGCCTAACTGATTTTTTTAAAGCACAAAAGTTCCATATTGGAACAAGTACCGACAGAATTGGATATCACCCCATATCTTCTAAAATGTGCCAAGGATCTGACTGATAAACAACACTTTCGAAATTATACAAAATAAATAAATTGGACGTTCTTATGGCCTGACATTCCTGCGAGAAAATATATATTATAATGTGCTGTACCAGTTTTTGAAAAACAACACACTGGGTAATTTTTGAGTACTTACCTGTCTTTAAGCTGGTAAGAGTTATCACCTTCCTTAGACTGCGTCAAACCGACCTTAGTGCATTCAGCTTGAGTCAATTCCAAACGATGTCCGCTCTTCAAGGGGTACATATGCAGTTTTTTTAACGTTCCTACTTCCTCCCAAGTCCATGGCACGATTTCCTTCTTCTTCTTTTGGTACAAATAAGCACCCACTACCGCTACTACCGTCGCTAACGTAGCGAACATCGCTGTCCCACCGAGGCCCATTTTAAAGTACTAAAATAAGAACAAATATGGCGATCAACGTGGAACAGAATAATTATATTTACAGAACTGGAACATGAGAAAGCATTTTGTTTTAATAAATATTCTAGAGTTTATCAGTAGGTATCGATATTAAAATTATTTTCGTACAGAAGCAATAGATAAAACTGTGCTCAATTAATAACAGCAAAGCTCATTTGTGTTCAGTTTTGTAAATAAGTAATATGTTCAACATATCGGTAAATAAATACCTAGTAATTTCAAAATTTTAAATATCTAAACGTGGATTGTTTAAGTCCAATTTGGAAGCTAATGAAACGTAACTGTAATTTTTTATTTGGAATGAAGTGTATATTAGTCACAACATATTCATATAAGTATCATGCATGATAGTAACCTTCCATTATGGTTCAAGAGAAAGTATATACCATCCAATGAGATTAAATAAAAGTATTATACTATTAAATTACTGACAATCCAAGTCAAGGTTTGAGTGGGATAAAGATCAATAAATAAAAGAACACCATCATTGCCAACGTTTCGGTGTTATTTTACACCATCCTCAGGGCTCGAAATTTGAAGTGTCTTTTGTCCAACTTAACAGTTCTAAATATTAAGAAGATGGTATCTAGATACTGACGAAATTTATGACAAGTAAATTTGGTTGGACCAATTAATTTAAATAAAGTGATTTAAAATTACAAAACTACTTTGAACATTTATTTTTTTTATTCAATATTCAAACAACAAATTAGTAAATTTTATCGTAAAGAATGGTGCATAAAATGAAGCACACATTGCAGTTTTTTCGGTGGTATAGGAATGACCTTTCGCATTAATTATGATTTATTTAATTTGGCACCTTTATCTTTATTATCTTGTGACATCATAAATTAAATATTCTGTTGACTTTTCCCCATAGACGAAAAAAGTAAATATGTACATTAAAAACAATATGTTCATTTTTACGTAACTTTCGCAAATTTTGCTCACACGATAGGTTCATATTATAACTATGTATATCTTAATAAAATCTGTGATACATATTTACAATGAGAATTACTAAAATGACTATATTAAATTATTACGCTTACAAAAATATTATTTATTTTGTGTTTATATTTATTTTACATATAATTATTAAGGATCTGAAAAAATCATTTTTCTAACTTTGCAGGTATGTGTATGATGTTTAAATATTATCCATTAATTAGGAAAAAAAATTGAAAACGAAATTTTATTCCAAGAATACAATTTTCCATAAAAAGTGGAACTGAATTTAAAATTCTTTTTAAAAAACTATTTACCTTTAAAGTTACCAAATTATAAGCAAGTCTATCATTAATGATACACATATATTTAAATAACAAGATCTACTAAATTCATTACGATCTATACATTTTGTTTTTAACGACTGTTTTGCTTAAATAAAACAATTAATAAATGTATGACTGTCATAATTAAAAAATAGAATATCAATTACGATTAATTAAATATAAATAGAATTGAATAAGTTGTACCATTTAAAATCAAATTTTGTAAGCATTTTCTTAAAATGTATTTGTGGAAATCTGAAATAATAAAACTAAAACTGAAGTACTTACCGCTTGCAATGATCTGGTATACCTATTTAATTTGAAGTTCGTTCAGTCCCCTATGAACTACTACAGACACATGATACGATGTCAGAGGCAAACAAGAACGTGAACAGAAGCAGGTTGCTATTTTTTCTTTTTCGATTAGTTAGGCAACCCGCTATGCGCTTTGGCGGGAAATTCCGACTGTAGTGTATTGTAGGTTGCATACTGTAAATTATGTTCCTAATAGCTGTTTTACATTGACAATTTATTGATGAATAAATTGACGAAGTTCTTCATGAATTAGTTAACGAATTTATTGGTAAACAGTGTGGTTTTACACTGCTACAGACTTTGTCAAGTTTTTGACGTATGAATCAGTTCTACCAATGAATAAAAGAGGTAAATAAATTTCAAAAATGTCACCTTTCCACTCATAATTGTAGTAATACAATAGCGGTACCGTTCTGACACATATTATATAAATATTAGTTTTTGTAAGTAACATATCAGAAAAACAATGCAAAACTAGCACGACGCTACACAATTATTTACATATTCCAATAACATAACCTCATTACTGATCTGATGCAGTAAATCTGTTGGGTTGGTACTTTCAAACTTCACGAAGAAATTGACGAAAATTAGAACATACTCTAATTCGTCAAGAACTTGATGAATAAATTCATGAAGTTATTTGACAGCAGATTTGGTGTATTACACTTGTCCAATTTCTTGATGAAGCGACCTCATGAATTAATTGATCAATAAATTGTCAATGTAAAACAGCTATAACATATTTATTCATTCACGTTTTTATATATATATCCCGTACTTAAAACAAAGAAAGTAACTTATTGATAAACTGTTGGAATCAGTGGCGTAAGTAATAAGTGTGCCTATTAAATTACATACAAAACAAAGTTAGGATCCCAAATCCTTTGGATTTTCATTGTATACGGCTTTTAGTTGAAATTGGAAAACGCAAAACTTTTGAGCAATAGCCTCTTTGAAATTAGTTAGTAGCGCCTACGATGTACATAAATTCTGACACATAATTCCATTCGAAAGCAAGTTAAATTATTGATAACTAATTTCGTAAACTTTCTTAATAATAGAGGATGCGGTTAGCCAAGTCATAAAAATTTCAGCAATATTCTACTGAAATGTATATTTTACGTAAGCTATATGCTTTTTAATTTAAAGATACTTAGATAATTTAAAGTAATTTTAAATTTATCTTAATTTAGAAACATTTTTAGAATTAATTTGAATTGACCTCAATAGCTTTAAATTAAATAAAAAGTGGTCATTATGAATATCTCAAAAATGGTAAGAGGTGGTTAATTTAGAAAAAAGCTTTTTTCTTTTTGGAATAATTTAACTATAACTATAAATATTATTAATTTTAGATTTTCGGATATTACTTAAATTAATATCTTGCATCGACTGTATTCTTGTTTAAATTAAAGTTTAAACATAGGGTAAACTTGGGTGGCATTGGTCCAGTTTCAAACTTCAGGACCCTGTAACTTTCGATAGATGAAACATAATCAATTTTTTTGGCACCATGTCGCTAATACTACTTTCAGCATGACAAAAATCAAAATTATGGTAATTATACCATGTTTAAAAAAAAAGTTGGTAGCCAAAGCTAAAAGACAATGTTGGGTTACTTTGGCCGACCATTCTTTTATCATTTGAATATAAGGACCGGCGTAGAATATTTCTTTCATAGAAATAAACAAGTTCGGCCACAAAAAGTGTTTTTAAAAAATTGTTTAATAATTTTAGGGCCCATGGTGTGAAGAAACAAGAAAAGTATGCAAAAAATAACATTTTTATTGTTTACATAAAAAAGTAACTAAATTTTACAATAAAAATACTAAATAAACTCTGAGAGTATAAAATAAAAAAAATATTCCATGTAAACATTAAATATAAATAACAACTTATTTATATGTATTTATCTCTTGGATTATAAAAAAATCTTCTCTTAGAGGGTTGCGGTTTATTAATGACCTCTAAAATGTCTTCAAAAGATATCTTCAGACGAAGTCCACTTTCATTGATGTCTGACTATTTTCAAGTGATTTAATCTTAATTGTTTTCTTATTTTCTTTTAATTTAATTTCAATAGCTTGTCCTGAGTAAAGTTGGTTTTCTTATAAAAATCAAACAAAGTTGCCATTGTTACTATGGTCAATTGTCTTGTTGTCGTTGTTTGGTGTTTTCAGATCTTTATTGGCAACTTCCTCATCAAGGTGGCATTGATCGGTAACTTTCTTATCAGGGTCACCTTGATCGGCAAGATACTCATCAAGGTCACAGTAATCCCTCTAACGGCTAGGGATAAAGGTTTGACTTGATGGCATATCAACAGAAAGCTGCTAGAGAGACCTACCAACGTTTCCTTTGAGCCCCCGATCATAGATGGCCGTAGTTTCGCTTTGTACAGGCAAAGTTATAACGACTAAAAATTCACGCATTTTTAACAAGGACATTTTCAGGTGCTTTACGAAAATATGAAGGACCTACTCTTTTTCATATTCATAGCTCTGAGTTCCTTATAATGTGTATAAGTTATATATAGCTTGATATTGGAAAATTTTAAGTCCATTTTTTTTATATATTATAAGAAAAAACAAGTTTCATAAATTGGCCAAAACCACCCATCTGTAGGGTATTTAATTTTTGTAGATACCTTTAATGCACAATGTGAAAATTAAATGTGATATTCATAAAAAAAAGTTGACTATTGTCTACCAAAATCTAGAAAGTTTAGAAGAATAACAAAAGCAAAATTGTAATTGCAAATGTCGTTTATAACTGCTATTAACCTTGTAACTACAGATTCATTCAAAAAGTAAGAGTTCTTAGTGACATATAAAAGTTACAAAAATAGAGGTCGTTTAAAAGCTCTTATAATTGCACATTTTTTTACAATTTAACCATCCCTCCGTGAGTGGATCGTCCTCTATATTCTAATGTATTTAAACTTTTATTGCGATATACAGGGTGTAAGAAGTTTGACTGCCATTACTTCAGCATGAGATAGAGTAATTATAAATGAACAAAAAAGTTGTTACACTTACATTGGCGTAAGATTAACAGTTTTCAAAATACAGCGAGTATTAATATTAGGGAGTTTCATCACAACGTGACAACGGCGCTTAACCTAATGTTACACAGCTGATACACACCACGTGTGCACGCGGCATACTTGTCCTACGGAATAACAAAAATGTAAGCAACAAATAAAATAAAATGTATCGATTTTGTAGTACAAAGATAGTGTTGTGCTTAAATTTTAACTCGAATTTTAGTAATTATGAATCTCTTAAAGCAAGAACTTTTAATCAAATTATGGATTTGAAGAATATGTAATTAAAGTACCCAAAGATTCACGTCGTCCAAATAATCATACGTATTAAAAATAATCTAGTTACCTACTTACGAAAAAGCAAAATTCAGTAATTTTTCTTCCAAGTCTTCGTCTATCAAATTCCAAATACCAACTGAATTGTGTATTGTTGGTTGTTGAACATCTTAGTACCTCGTGTTAACCGCCGCGCCGTTGTCACATTGCTCCATATGAATTTTATCGAATTTTAAATTTATTACAGTTAATTATTTTTTAGAATTAAGCATAAATAAGATCAAAAAAGTGATAAACATTGTATTTTATGGTATTCTATTCACGCAGTTATATCAATATTCTTTAATTAATCGAACTTTTCTACATCAAGTTGGAGATTTTGACAACTTTTTCTCGGAAATGGTTGAGTTTAGGACTAATGTCGTAAAAGGTTTTTTTGTTTATTTTTATGTATTCTATCGTCTGTTAAAATTAAGGTAATCAAACTTCTAACACCCTGTAGACATGTTTGTTCAAATTTAATATAAACAAGAAGTAATGTAACTTTTAAACATATTCAGGTCATTTTTGTGCCACATTAAAGATAAACAAAAATCTATATATAGTATTGTAAGCAATGAAAATGTACCATTAAATTAATTATTTTATAGACTAATATTAAATTTAATTTTGTCTACCGTAATAATAGTACTGATTGCTATTAGTAGGTATTTATAAATACGGATGGTACTGATTAAATAATATAATAAATACCTATTATTAACATAAACATATTAATATTTAAGCAATTTACACTGTTGCTAAACCTTGACATACACAGAAGAAGTTCTAATTAAAAAAATGTGTACAGCGGAAACAAATGAAAAAGCGGGGGGACATGGAAAATTGTTTTTTTTTTAATATAAAATCGACATGTTCGTGGAAATATCGTCCCGATTTTATATGCCAGTGATAACAGCGACAAGTTATATCAAATTGTAGCTATATTTTTTAGATTTGGATTCCATTTAATTTATTTTTTATTTAAAATAACTCCTAAATATCTACATTACAAATAGCTTCTTAGAAATATTTATTTAAATCATCTTTTCTGAAAGGTATACAAATGCATATTCTTACTCTTAAATAACAAAAGAACCCCTAGTAATATATTCTCTGTTAGATAAATATCTATTTTAAAAATACTGCCTATTTGTAATTCTATTAGAAAGCAAAATTAAAAAAGTAAAACATATTTTTTGTGCAGGGTATCTGTAATTTTACAATCCAGTACAGTACTGTATAAATTTACACTTTCAATTCTAACTAGCAAATTTCGTTAGAAATTTACAATTAACAACTTGTCAATTTAAAAATAATACAACTAAATAAACATAAACAAAGAACATGAGAAAAAAGAGAAAAAAGAAAGAAAAATGCAAAACATATATACCTCTAGAAGTGTGTTTGCATTACAGTACTACATATTTAATCCAGAAAAGGACATACAGAAGACATAGTATTCATGGCCTTATGGCGTTCAATAAAGTATGTAATGGACGGACAAAAATATATATCACAGTTACACAAACGATTAGAATTGTCACACATGACATATACTGGCGGTTTATATAAAATGTTAGTATTTGGCGTTGTAAGTCTAAACGTATTAGTATTTCTTAAATTTATTCTAGGTACGAATAAATTAATTAATTAACAAAAAAATGAGTGACATGCGAATTCTACGAGAATCTAG